TTTGCTCTCTCTCACTCTCACAGGCAAGGTCATCTATGCTGTTCCTGAAGCATTCCTTCACTGGTGTTAGAACCTACATTTTGGGATTCCAGTGTAGGCTGACGACCATCAGCTCTCTAGGGATACTCCAGGACTCCAGCACCAGGTTTGGACTGCAGAGCCATCCAGTCTCATGTACTGAACAACTACTAGATGTGTGGCCTTTCTGTCTTGAGAGAGAGAGAGAAAGTGTGTGTGTGTGTGTGTGTGTGTGTGTGTGTGTGTGTTCTATCCATTTTGTTCCTTTAGGCAATTCTGACTAATACAAAGCCACTTTTCACAGTTTTAGCTTTAAGGAATATTTGAGGTTGAAATCTTACCTCCCCTTTAGGCCATGAGGAAACAGTACTTGGTTGTTATACCTGTCATCTCAGCACTAGGGACCAGAAGGACCATGAGTTGAAGACCAGCAGCTCTATAGACCAACCTGAGCTACATACTAAGAGTCTTCCTTGGGGGAAAAAACAAAAAGCAAGAGAACTGTGCCTGTTTGAATTTGCCTTCAGCTGTTTGAATTTGTCCTCCTCCACTATGGCATTTCTTATCTTCCTCCCGTAGCATTCCATCCGCCCTCTTTTTACATTAACCCAACACTCAAAAGCCAACCGGGAATTCTCAGGCATATTTGGAGCCATTTTAGTGTGAAGCTTATGTCTTTAAATTCCCATTTTTAATCTCTCTCTCCCCACCACAGGGTCTCACTCAACTTGTAACCCTGGTTAGCCTGGAACTTGATGTGTAGACTAAGGCAAGCCTCAAAATCATAGAGATCTGTGTGCCTCTGCCTACTATATGCTAGAATTAAAGATGTACACCACCATGCCTGACACACCCTCTTCTCTTTGATGCTAAACACAAGGCACTGTTTTCATAATTTGTGATAGAACCGGGGAAGGAGAAAGTGTGCATCCCCCCAAAGAGGCTTTATGGAGAACTAGCCGACCAAACAGTCCTTCTTGGGATGGATTGTAGAGAGATGCTAAGTTGTGCCAGCAAGAAGGGCTTTACATTCTAGATTGAAAAATTGTTGAAAATTATTTGGATTTATTTTCTCTTCTGCATGGATGCCATGGTGGTTTGATTAAGAATTGTTCCCATAAACTCAGATATTTGAATGCTTGGTTATCAGGGAATGGCACTATTTGAAAGGATTAGAAGGATAAGGAGGTGTGATCTTATTGGAGGAACTGTGTCACTAGAGGTGGACTTTGAGGCTTCAAAACCCATGCCAGGCCCAGTATGTTTCTGTCTCTGTCTCTGTCTCTGTCTCTCTCTGCGGATCAGGATACAGCTCTTAGATACTGCACCAGCATCTGCCTGCATGCTGCCATACTCCTTGCCGTGATGTAATGGACTAAACCTCTGAGACTGTAAGTGGGCCCAATGACATGCTTTCTCTTATAAAAATGCCTTGGTTGTGGTGTCTCCTCACAGCGAGAGAACAGTGACCAAGACAGGCTAGAACCACTCTATTCTTTCACTGTTGCTTGCTTATAACGAACACATTGTAATAATTGGTTTCTAACCCATGTTCTCTTTTGGATTATAGAACACAGGATAGAAAAGTCTGTATGTTTTTACCCATTGCTATGCCCTGGCTCCTCCCACTGCCCAGTCCAAATATTTTCCAGCTATTGAGTGAAGGGAATAGAGGAGTGGTAGGAAGAAGATAAAGGGGAATGCATGCCCTAAAAAGTAGATCCCTCTACAACTGTCCCAGGTTTTAGAGGCAGAGCAAACAGGCTTGAAGCCACCCTCTCCATGGAAGAGGCCTGCCTGGCACCAGGTGCCCTGTGGAAGTTTGCACAAGCAGTATAATAAAAACCACAAAATGCAAATCAGCATCTTTCTTTGGTGGCAGCATTTCATTATCTGAAAATAAAATATGTTGAATCACTTCAGATAATCTTTTGTTTAAAGCAGAGTATTTTATCCACAAGGATGTCAAGATTTAGCTTAAAGTGGCCCAGAGCGGGATTATGTGGAACTGACTACCAGATTTCTCTTTTTTCCCTCATGTGATATACTAAGAAATGGGTGGTGGAGGCTGGAGAGATGGCTCAGAGGTTAAGAGTACTGACTGCTCTTCCAGAGGTCCTGAGTTCAATTCCCAGCAAACGCATGGTGGCTCACAGCCTTCTGTAATGAGACCTGGTGCCTTCTTCTGGCAAGCAAGCATACAGACAGACAGAACACTATTAAGGTAGGCTTTCCTAGCTCATTAATCCAATCAAGACAACCCCTTACAGACATGCCCAGAGTCTAACCTAATGTAGATAATCCTGTGCAGGTGTGCCCAGAAGCCTGCTTCCCCAGTTATTCCAGAGCCTGTCAAGGTGAGGACATTAACCATCTCCTCGTCCTCTTTGTCTTCCGGTCCGAACATGAAGCCTTCATGTCAAGAAGACTACACAGGTCTGTGAGTGTGCCCTGAGAATTCCAGCAAGGAGGACTCTTTTGATAGAAGAATCCCAGCCAAACCAGTTTCTCTGGGATGCTTGTTAAGTTTGCCCGGACTCATATGTGTTAGTGACCAAGATCCAAAGAAGCACTTAGCCTTGTTGACAATGGTGACTTCATAGCAAGGGGACATTAAAGCTTAGCCCTGGTGGATGTCTTGCCTCCTCCAAACAATGGAAGCGAAAACGTTTGTTCTCCCTGCCAGGTGGAGTTATCACTGGCTGGGCTTGGCTGTCAGGAGCCGTTTCCTCCTAAAATTATTACAGGAACCATCGCCCTAGGGAGTCTGAAGAGAACCCCACTTCCCAATTGTATTGAGAATTGTTTTATTGACAGAGCCTACCCCACACCCAATTATCTGTTAATAGAGAACTATCAGTTAGTGGAACACGCCCCACATTCCAAACTATCTAGAGAACTAGGTGTGTGACTTCCTGGCCTACGTGGTGACTGACCGAATGTAACCTCCTGGCCTACGTGAACCACGCAGCAGGAGTGCAGGCCCCTGTGCCCCACCCCCCATTCCTTATCCTATATAAGCTGTAACCCTGTCTCCAATAAACAGAGGCTCTGACAAACCTAGCATGGCCTTCTTCCTCTCTCTCAGCCCATATCTTACAGATAGCGCCTCTCCGGGACCCTGGAATTACTGAACTGCCAGGCGGGTTACAACCCCTAGACTGAGTAGCCCACCCAAGGCGGTTTACACTTGGCCAACTGCAGGCTGAGCAAATGGTCTCTACTCTGTGCTTGCTCTTTCTTTCTTTCTTTCTTTCTTTCTTTCAGAAGCTGAGTCATGGTGGCCACCTGACCCTTGTCCTTCCTTCTAGGACCTGTTTGGATACCTGAGAGACTGAGGCTCCCTCCCCACAGGCAGAGCCTCCAGCTTGCTCGCTAGTGGGAGCCCTGGCTGATGGGTAAGGAGTGTGGGGGACACTACACCTGACATTCGCTAGACTCCAGTGGTAACAGCCACTCCAAAGGACAAAAATGGGAGCTTTCCTTCCTCTGAGACCCAGGGCCCAGATGGCAGTGATAAAGACCGATACTCTTTACAGCCAGACTCTCTACTAGGTCCTAATTTTGGAAGCATTAAAATTTTTAAATTGGAATTAAGAGGAAAAATGCAGCAGGAGATAGCAAGGAGGAGCCTAGGGATTGGAGCGGTGATAATCTGGGCTTTGCCTCTGAAAGTCAAAAGGCTTCCCAACCCTAGGGTCATCTGCAGATGAGAACAGGAAACAGGACTGGTGGCTGCCAAGGAGGATCTGAAAGAGAACCAGGACAGCTGAAGGTTATGCTTATCGTCCCATAGCCCTGTGGGTGTTAGGAGATGGGCCCTGAGGACCAGCCTCGTGCTGATAGTATTCCTGGGCCCTTACTGCTTTGTGAGCTTTGGGTAACACTGCGGAGCCGCTATGAAGACAGTCACAGTTTCTGCAGCTTAACCTCGGTCACCCAGCTAGCAGGCCGACACAGGCGGACTAAAGGGCTGCCTCTGTGATCTCGCTCACACTTGACCGCTGCTTCCATGAAGGTGCTGCTTGCAAGACTATTCCTGCCTTTCCCCACAGTGCCTGTCACTCAGAATGAGAAGCATCTGGGCATTATTTGATTCGCTGACGCATGCCTTTTGCAACCCCACAGAACATTCTGCAGGGCGACCGGAGATACCGGAGAAGCAGCTGCAATAGCTTTCAGTACCAGTTGCTGGCTCAGGGATTGCCTTGAGTCATGGAAAGTCCCTTCCCCAGATAGACTCCAGTTTTCCATTGGCTTCTCTTGCTGCTAAAATAAAACCAGGCGAATCTTCCAGGCATCCTGTGTGAACAGGTGCAGCTACCTCCTCTGTGTTTGTCAGAGGCACGAAGAGCTCGTATTTTATGGACACAGTCTTGCTCCCCTGGCTGTTGCATCTCGGTTTCCCTCCAACTGAGAAGCTCTCTTTACTTGTGAGTGTTCTCAGCCAAAAGCCTCTGCCCTTCACTCTGTTACCTGCCAGCTTCACTTGGCCCTCAGAGTTAGCCTGGCCTTTGCTTTTAAGGAGCAAAGCACACGAACGTGGCAGAGTTAGCATAAGTGTTGTTTTAGATTCCAGTGATGTCCTGACATCTCCAGTGCCCCTCCTCTACCCCAGCGCTCACACTGGCATCCCAGATGAAGCACAACTAACTTCCAAGACCAGGCTGGCCTCGAACTCACAGAGCTCCGCCTGCCTCTGCCTCCCAAGTGCTGGGATTAAAGGTGTGCACCACCACCGCCTGCTGGAAATTCTATTTTCAAAAGCAGGCTTGGTCTGGGGCTTTTTGGTCCTGCTGCAAAGAATAGAAATGGCCAGGACATATGACATTATAGTACAACAAGACACAACAGAACACAGAAACACGGCGGTGCAATCACCCCCCCCTCCTCCCCTTCCACAGGGCCCTATCTACTGCCCTGTTTTCACTGACTCTCGGCCCCCGAAACAAGCTTCCAAAACAGATAGTGTAGCTTTGTATTTATTCACTCACGCCCCAGGGCTGTTTGGATGGGTTTTCCTTACTGGCTTATTTAAGATTCAACACCGGGAGGACTGCTTTGAAAGAATCCACAATCCGCCGTAAGCAATCAGATTTGAACTTGCTTTCTTTTGTTTGTTTGTTTTGAGATCTGGTCTCACCATAACACTAGCTGGCCTGGCACCCAACTTTAACTTTGCAGACCAGGTTGGCCTTGAGTCACGTGGCCACCTGCCTCTGCCTGGGCTGGGATTAAGGGCCTTAGGCACACTTGTTTGCAGCGTTCTTGCTTCTGTAAAGGTGTTTGACTAGGATGTCCATCTCACCGACAGTCTTCATAGGACCCAGAGAAACCAGTAAGTTCCGAAGTAATGAAGAATAACAGAAAACCACTTGCAAACATGAGACCGTTTGGGGAAGAAAGACAAAACACACAAAATTATTCATGGAAATTATCTTTGCCTTTTTAAAATCAAGAAAACCTTGCCATTCGAACTTTCAAAGCACATGTTTGAACAGTATGCAGATAGTTGAGATAAAGAATAACAACCTTTAAAAAGAGGAATGCCCCATCTGCTTCCTTAATAAGTGACCAAGAACACACAGGTGAGGAGAGACTTCAGTTTCCCAGGCAATAGGCAGGTGTGTCTGTTTTCTGACGACATCACTCTCCAGGCAACCAGGAAGCCTGGTCAAATGGGGCTTCTCACGAGGCTTGCCAGGCGGTGTGAGAGACGGGAACTAGAGTGCTGAGCCGTTCTACATCTTAGAGAGATGCAGTGTTAGGTGACTGGATCAGCTCTGATCTCTGCAACCCAAGTCGGGGAGGGGAGCATGTGTCCATCCTGAGTGACATCTACATAAGTCACAGGCGAGAGGCTCAAGGGTGGAGGAGTCCAGGGTAACATTGCTGGAAACACTTATTTCCCTGCAAAGGGCATACGGGCACCGGTTGAGCTGTGTATGAGAGGACCACCAAGCCCTGTTGCTTTGTTGAATTTGCTCCAGGATCCAGAGTCCTTAAGCTGAGGAGAGCAGGCACTTGGCACAGTCTGTCACTGCTCTCACTTCTTCTGCTCTAGTTTCCTCTCTTCCTTATCCATCTCAGAACTGGTAGAAGTCTACGGAGAAGGAGGGCCCTTCTGAGAAGGCCGCACCAGTGTGCCTGGTCACCCTCCAGTGGTAAGACGAAGACACTTGGAAATTGGTGATTCCCCAGACCTTGGGCCCAGACCTCAGAAGTGCTCATGACAAAGTCCCATCCTGAGCATTTCCAGTAGTGCCAAGAACCTGGGGGGTTGTTCAGCATTCCTTCTGAATACTTGAGTTACCAGAAGGTCTGTCTCAGTTGGGTGGGGACTTGGTCCCACTTCTGCACCTTATCTGAGGAATCACAGCCTCAGAGGCTCCTGGGGGGGGGGTGAGACGGTGCTTTAGGTTTCTAGAGCAGTAGGTGTTTTACAGGGGTGGCAGTGGCCACACCAAAGACTCTAGGTGGAAGGTACAAGTAGCTAGTCTTCCGGCCAATCGGAGAGGATGGAAGGGGCCAAGGCAGCAAGCTGGCCTGACACAGCTTGTCCACACTGAACTCTAAATTGCAAACAGAGATTCCTGAGCCTCCTGGCTTTGCTTCTGCGCACAGCTGGTCTTCCATTCTCCCATTCTTCTTGGGGTGCAGCTCACCCCAAGTTCTAGCCTTCCTGTATGAATGCAGACACAGTTGACTCCCCAGAGCCCAGTGGAGTGTCTGGCAGTGGACATGCTGCTGTGGACATATTTCCCACGAAACAGCACCAAAGTGAATCGGGCCTTCTCCCCCCTGTGATGCTGGAGGCTCAGAAGACAGGGATCTGGTCTCTACGAACCACATCCAGGTCATCATCCAGGGTCAGCAACACCTGAAGTGAGAGGGTTGGAGATGGGAAGGGAATAAGTCCTGGCCACACCAAGTTCCCACTTCCTGCCGTCCACAGACTGGAAATGGCATGCCCCCTCACTTGTTCATATATTTTTGGCAGTGATCCACAAGGCCTTGCTTTTAGTTGGGACTTATTACTAAATTACAGCTCATGTGTAAATTTCTTGAAATACTTGTGAAGAGGGTTCTTATGTGCTGTGCTTGACACTAGAGACACAGCTGAGGATGAAAATGGCATCCATCCTCTGCCCTAGAACTCACATTAGGGAAAGGTTCTTAAACAGGAAGAAAGCACATGAGGTAGGATGCAGTGTTTTTCACAGACTATGTGTGAGTATCAGAGCTTGGGGTGGAGGATGGAAAAGTATTTGAGTAAGGTGGCCTGGTAGTCATTACTATAAGGTGACATATAAAATCCATTGGAGATGAAGTATTGAGGGTTTCTGTATAAGAACCATTCCTACTTTGCCCTAATTCCCTCTCCACATGAAATCACTAGCCCCACTCTGTCATCCCATGTCACAGAGATTGGGTGTACTTTCCACTATGGCCACTAGAGGGAAGCCCTGCTCCACTCTTGTGATTGCATGGTTGGCCTCTGTGAGGATGACAGACACCTAATTTTTTAAATTTTTTTAAATTAGGAAATTAAAAAAAAGACTGAAGGATGCAGAAGATGGCCATATTACATTAGCATAACTACTAATGGGTTCAAGCAAATCCCAGGAACTCTAGGTTAGGAACATGCTGGCTAGGTGGCTTCTTGAGCTTCTCTAGGAACCCAATCTTTATGGAGGAAGGGAAGGAAGAGAGTCCATCGTGAGAAGCAGCAATTCCACAAATTTTGGTGAATGCCTTAAGTGGTTCCTGGGGGGAATTCTGAGCATTTGAATCCAATAACCAATTCTGTCCTGGGGCACCGTGTAACTCACTGAAAATAATTTTGTCACTGTTCTGTGTGTACAGATATTGAAAAGTAGAGGAAAATGAAAGTTGTGGCCTCACAGAAGTTAAAGTAAGAGAAAAAAAGATACAGGGAGATGGTCAGCACAGGGAGATGGTCAGCGTAGGAGATGGTCAGCACAGGGAGATGGTCAGCGCAGGGAGATGGTCAGCACAGGGAGATGGTCAGCGCAGGGAGATGGTCAGCACAGGGAGATGGTCAGTGCAGGGAGATGGTCTGCACAGGGAGATGGTCAGCGCAGGGAGATGGTCAGCACAGGGAGATGGTCAGCGCAGGGAGATGGTCAGCACAGGGAGATGGTCAGTGCAGGGAGATGGTCTGCACAGGGAGATGGTCAGCGCACTGAATTCCACAGGGAGATGGTCAGCGCAGGGAGATGGTCAGCACAGGGAGATGGTCAGCACAGGGAGATGGTCAGCGCAGGGAGATGGTCAGCGCAGGGAGATGGCCAGCGCAGGGAGATGGTCAGCGCAGGGAGATGGTCAGCGCAGGGAGATGGCCAGCGCAGGGAGATGGTCAGCGCAGGGAGATGGTCAGTGCAGGGAGATGGTCAGCACAGGAGATGGTCAGCACAGGGAGATGGTCAGCGCAGGGAGATGGTCAGCGCACTGAATTCCACAGGGAGATGGTCAGCACAGGGAGATGGTCAGCACAGGGAGGGTCAGCGCACTGAATCACACAGGGAGATGGTCAGCGCAGGGAGATGGTCAGCGCACTGAATCACACAGGGAGATGGTCAGCGCAGGGAGATGGTCAGTCACTGGGATGCACAGGGAGATGGTCAGTGCACTGAATTGCAATGAATGAATGCAGAGAGTAACTAGAGGGGACGGCGGAGGCTGAGGATGAGCAGCAGGGAATATGCAGGACTGCAGAAGCAGGGAGAGCAGCAAGAAGCTCCGAGTGACTCACCAGGAACGAGAAAAACAGGGCAGTCGCAGAGAGGAAGTGCCAGATGTCGTGGTCATCAAAGAAGTCCAGCAGCACACACTCTCGGTTCTTCTCCCGCGATTCTGCTGGGGTTCCCTGGAGGAAGGGGACGCAGATGTGGGCAAGGACCCACGGTTCAGTCATTTCAGGGTTTGATTTTGAGGAAGCACCCGGGAAGTCAGCTGCTGAGGGTCGTGTGCAGTTGCTCTCAGCAACGCTGTTTATCCTAGTCCCAGAATGGAGCCAGCCCAACTGTCCAGAGTGCACTGATATGGTTCCTGAGGGCTCAGCTTTCCTGTCCTAGCCTTGAATTTATTGATGGACGAAGACTGCAATGGGAAGGAGGTGACAAAATACTAATCGAGCGTTAAACATCCCTGGGAACAGACCATAAAAGAACCAGCGAAGATCGCATGTGCCGTGCCCCACAACGGAAAAACTGCTCAGTGATTTGAAGACACGCTGATGCAGGGTCATAGCATGGATGACCTAGGAATCATTACACCTCACCCTGCATGAACAAAGTGGCCACAGGATGTGTGGCTCTATCTCTAGGAAAGCAGTTCTCAACCTGTGGGCCAAGACCCCCACAGGGGATACATATCAAATGTCCTGCATACCAGATATCTACATTATGATTCATACCAGTAGCAAAATGACAGTTATGAAGTTGGCAATGAAATAATTTTATGGGTGGGGTCACCACGACATGAGGAACTGTATTAAAGGGCCACAGAATTAGGTCGGTTGAGAACCACGGCTCTAGGAAATGCCCAGACTGGGAACTGCACAACTACAGAAGGTAAGTTAATGGCTGCTATGTATTGTCGTGTCTTTGCGAGACAGAAAGGCTGCTCATGAGTTTTTTTCCCTGCGGTCACACAGATAGATGCTCTAAGATCAGATTGCTGATATGGCTGTGGTAGAGAGCGGAGACATCCTGTTTGGGCTTCAGACACAGCACTGGTTTCTGAGGGCTCAGCTTTCCTGTGCTACCCCTGCATTTACTGATGGATGACGACTGTCCTGGGAAAGATGGTGACGATATGCTAACTGAGCGTTAAACACCTCTGGGAACAGGCCACCAGGGACCTGGTGAAGATCACATGTGCGGTATCTCCAGGGCTTGCAAGTTCATGTAGCATTACCCTGGCTGTGCTGACCACACACCGCTTGCCTTTTCTCTCCCAAAGGAAGCTGCGAACTTAAATGATGGGGAAAAGATGAGAAGCAATGAATGCCGGGGAGAGAGAAAGGTCCAAAAGGCAGAAGGGAGTGAGAGCTGCTCAGATAAAAGAAGAGGCCTCTTACCTCCCAGCTGCTGAGGTTCTGAAAGAAAAAGTACAGGGCCGCAGCCCACACCACCGCCGTGGCCACAATGCAGAAGAGTGGTAGGGGGAGGATCTTCTCGGAGCTGCGGAGCTGCAGAGAGAGGCAAACCACTGAGGCGGCAGCCCCAGCGGTGGACAGGCTCCCCGCGCTGCCAGCTCCTCCCTCGTGCTCACCTTCATGATGATGTAGAAAGCCAGGTACAGCAGCAGGTTGAAGATGAAGATGCCCAGCATGTAGGATGCAAAGTCCCTGGGCCGGCAGAAGAGTCCAAAGAAGGCACTGTAGGTGTGGTATAGGGTGTTGGCGGTGCGTGAGTGGATTGTTAACCACTGTGGGAGTTTGCTAGTTAAAAACCACACTTTAAGATACAACAATGCATTCTGTGATGACAGGGATACAGCCTGAGACATGCGCAGTAGGTGAGTTTGGCATTGTGTGAACGTTATAGAAAAGCCATGTCACTAGGCCATACATCTTTCATGTGGTCCTCTGGTAACTGAAATGCCTTTGGGTGGAGAGTAATAATGACATAACTTAATTAGTGATGTAAATAACTTTCAATTGATCGATCTTTGCCAGAACATTCCTCCCTAGTGCCTTCACAGTGGTCTTGTGAGTGAACGCACAGTTATCGTTCCTCTCTGGGTGCAACGGTTTTCCCAGAGTCCTTCAGCGTTTCATGATTACAAACAACACTGTCATGAATAAGGGAATGTTCCAGAATGCTGCCTTTGTTTTCACTTAAGTCCATTGGTTCGTCAAAACAGATTGCTGCCAGTAGGATTACCTCAGTAACTGGCTTGACCACATTACCGGGTTAATGCCAGCTGTCCGTATTTAATTTAGCACTGAAATGTACTTTGATTGAGTATGAACCTTAAGTCTGTTTAAAATTTCCATTCAGTATAACAAAATATTGGTAACTTTTCCTCCCTGAGACAGGGTTTCTCTGCATATCCCTGGCTGTCCTGGAACTTGCTCTGTAGACCACGCTGGCCTCTGCCTCCCAAGTGCTGGGATTAAAGGTGCATGTAACACCCAGCTGTAGCTTTCTTCATCTCCTTATTTGAAGTTTTTTTTTAAAATAAATATACATTTAAGACCTACAGTGTGGTGGGTGGGTGGTGCACACTTGTAATCTCAGCACTCCAGAAACTGAGCCAGGAAGATTGCCAGGAGCTTGAGGCTAACCTGGGCTACAAAGTGAGGCCCAAACAAGCCAGGTCTAGCTAGAAAAACCCTATCACAAACAGACAAATAAAAACAAACAAACAGTATAACACAAAATGAAACAACTATATTGTGGCTCTGGGAAACAAAAAGTAAAAATTGACAAGTGGGATTTTACCAAATTAAAAAGCTTCTACCTAGCAAAGAGTTCACAGAGGAAAGACACAAGCATCGGAAAACGGAAAATAGCTGTTAACAATTCTGGATTAGGGTTAATATTTGTCCTAGTTAGGTTTTTGTCATACTTGGGTCATCTAGGAAGAGGAACCTCAATTGAGAAAATGTCCTCATCAGGGTGGGCAGTGGGCAAGTCTGTAGGGCACCTTCTCGATCAGTCATTGATGTGGGGCCCAGTCCACCATGGGTAGTGACACTCCCAGGGAGATGGTCCTGGGTGTGCAAGAAAGCAGACTGAGTAAGCCAGTGAACATTGCTCCCCCACAGAACTGCTTTGTTCCTGCCTCCGGTTCCTGCCTTGGTTCCTGCTTCCAGGTTCCTGCTGTCAGACCCTGCTGGGACTTCCCTTCACAGTGGACCACAGCAGTGAGCTGACATCAACCTTCCCCTGCTTCCCTTCACGATATTTGTCACATCAATGGAAAAGCAAACCAAACAACATCCAAAATAGAAAGAATTAAGAAACCAAGGAATACAACTTAAAAATGGGCAGATATGGAAAGGGGATATGGCTCAGAGGGTAAAGTGCTTGCTGCCCAAACAGGAGGACCTGCGTTCTAGTCCCCAGCATGGCAGAACACTCCACTAACCCCAGAAGAGACAAGTGGACCCTGGCACCTCATTGGCCAGGCTGTCCAGCTGAAATATTGAGAAATATGAGGGGTACAACAGAGAAAGACAGCCAATGCCTCTGACTTCTGCAAGGAGCTCCCTAGTGTATGCACCTGCACACACACACACACACACACACACACACACACACACACACAGAGAGAGAGAGAGAGAGAGAGAGAGAGAGAGAGAGAGAGAGAGAGAATATACATATACACATGGCCAATAAATATCTGACAGTCATCGAGGTTATTGGCTCCCAGGGAAATGGAAATCAACCCCAAATAAAGACTAGTGAAGACTGGAAGTTGGGAAGTAGAGGGATGGATAAAAGGAAGGTGGAGTTGATCTGTGAATGCGGAGCACATGTTTTGAGATATCACGCTAACCTGCATGTGTGCGTATAAATAATCATCACGTGTTAATCTTTAATGTAATGAAATATATATTGACATAGTGTTTTGTCATGGTTTTTCTTGTCTCTGTTCCGTCTGCTTTCACTGTACTGGAGAACGGAACCATTTCATTTATTAGATGTCCAGGCTGGCCTTGAACTTGGGATCCTCTGCCTTATATCCCGATAGCCGAGTTACGGGCATGCAGCAACACATCTGCTTCCATCCTCTTCGTCTGACTCACTGGTCTATAGTTCTAATTTTGGATCAGAGCTTGCCTCGCTCTGTTTTATTTATATTTTAATATTAGATTGCCTTATTAGGCTAGCCTATGTCAACCTCCGTGGTCCTCACACATGGCTATCTAAATTTAAATCGATTAAAACTAAATAAAAATCGAAAAGTCTGTTCCTCAGACACACGGACCACATTTCAGCATCGCAATGCCCACATGTTAGTAGTTCCTCTTAGGACTGCGCGGTACTGAGCATTTATGTAATTCCAGAAAGTTCTAATGGACAATGTTGGAATACTTACTATATTCTTGGCCCCTCTTTCCTCATGTTAACCTTGCTTTTCGGGGACTGTTAACCCATTTTGTGATTAAAAAAAAAAAAAGCTCTAATTTGACATTGATACATTAACTGGAGAACAGCTATCTGTCTTCCACGCCAGGCCTTGACATCTCTCTCCAGTTGGTTAAATTTTCTTTTGTGTGTCCTAATAAGGCAATTAAATTTTCAGAAGAAAGACTCTGCCTGCCTCTCAAATTGTATTCCTAAGTATTTCAAGTGCAAAACTTATTAATGGCTGTGAATTTCAGAGTCCAGTTGACTGTGCTCCAGATTATTCATGAAATACCATCCGTCCAGATTCTGAAATCCTCAGTTCACTAAAAACTCTTAGGTGGCCTTTCCTCAGATTCATCAATTAGCAATTCGATATGTGTGCTGTTTGCTGTTTGGCTCTCTCTCTCTCAATCTCTCTCTCTCTCTCAAACTCTCTCTCTCTCTCTCTCTCTCTCTCTCTCTCACACACACACACACACACACACACACACACACACACACACACCCCAAAGGTTTTCTTCTTCAGGGCCATGTGGGAATTACTCCTTTAGGGATAAGACATAAATAAATAATGATCCATAAATAGATGCTGACATTCATAAATATGGTAAATATGTAAATATTGAAGATTGTCCATAGATTGCTTCCACTTGAACACATGTTTGCATTATGATCTTATTAAGAGAAGTAACACTCTAATAAGTAGGTAAGCATAGAGTTGGGCTGGCGTGCAGCTCAATGGAAAAGCACTTGCTTGGCATGCAAGAGACCCTAAGTTTTATCCACAGCACCAAGTGAACAGAAGGATAAAGGTGAGCCAGACACTGTAGCACACATCAAACATTCATATCTCTATCTATGTGGAACAACAGAGAAAGAGATAGCCCCTCTGCCAGGGAAACATGGAATTAGAATTATGGGACATCAAACCTCATACCTTATTGGACCTGACATCCTACAGAGCTGTGTGAGGAAAAAGAGGCCACTGATCTTGTCTCGTGAGTGGATTGTGTCCTTATGCATATCAGGAGTGGGTGCGGGGATCAAAAGTCACAGAGCCAGAGAACCCATTAGCTGAGAGTCATAAGTAAAAACAGCTGAAGTTACTTATTTTTTGCGATACCAACGAAGCATCTCATGTGTTGGAAGTGAGGAGGCTACATAAGACAATCTCAGCTAGAGGAGAATGCGCATCTGTTGCACCTCTGCTTTGTGTTCACCTGGGAAACAGGACAAGAGGATGCAAAGGGACAAACTGCAGGAGAATGACATGGCTGGAACAGAAAGCGAGAGAGAAAGAAATAGCAAAGTCACACACACATGCGCGCGCATGCACACACACCACAAATGAAGGAAAAGGTATTTTATAAAAACTAATGTCTCCTCAATAGTCATTATGCAAAGTTCTACAAAATAATTTTAAATTATATTTTTTGGAATCATGGGCAAAATGCCTTTTTTTCCTCCCCCTTTTCTTTCTTTCCTTCCTTTCTTTCTCTCAGTCATTTATCCATCCATCCATCCACCCATCCATCCAATTTGTCCACATAGATATTTGTCTTGTTGGGAAAATTCTATCAATGGATCAATGTTTTCGAAGAAGCCCCCACCAGTATACAAGCGCTTCCTGGTGCATTTATTTAATTAAAATATTTTACTTATTTGTATCTATGAGCATATTACGGCATGTGTGTGTGTGTAGGTCAGAGGACAGCTGATGGAGTTGGTTCTAGACTTCTATCGTGTGGGTTCTGAGGATTGAACTCATGTTGGCAGACTTGACGGCAGGTGCCTTTACCTGATGGAGGAAGGTCATTGGCTAATAAAGGAACTGCCTTGGCCCATTTTATTGGTTAGAAGATAGGTGGGAGGAGAAAACAGAACAGAATACTGGGAGGAAGAGGAAGTGAGCTCAGAGACTCCACAGCTCTTCTCTCGGAAGCAGACGTCTCAGAGAGACGCCATGCTCCTGGCTCCTGGGCAGCCGCACGCTATGAAGCTCCGACCCAGGATGGACATAGGCTAGAATCTTCCCGGTAAGTGCACCTAGAGGTGCAACACAGATGATTAGAAATGGGCTAAATTAATATGTGAGAATTAGCATAGAAGAGAATGGGCCAAGCAGTGTTTAAATGAATACAGTTTGTGTGTTGTTATTTCGGGCATAAGCTAGCCGAGCAGGTGGCCGGGGTGCTGGGAACGCAGCCCCGCCACCCCTAATTACTACATTTATCAACTGATCCGTCTCTCCAGACTCTCGTACTGGTTTTTGTTGTTGTTGTTGTCTCTGGGACAAACAGGTCTACAGTCTCCTTAATTTCAGATTTTCTTATAAAAATGACAGTTCAAGAACTCTAAGCTGAGTGCTGCAGATTTTCACAATGATAAGAACATCATTTCCCGTAGTTCTACTTACAAGGACCAGTTAACCAGGTTCCCCACAATGAGCAGCACCATCCTGTCCTGGAAAAGAGAAGACGGAGTGTTAGAACGGAGGTCGCTACTCCCTAGATACTTGTAGGTTCTAACGGGCTTTATAGTTCTAGCATTGAGAAAACCCCTGCTTCAAGTCTCTCAGTTTTTCCTGCCCAAGTTTTTAAGGATAAGGGGTCTCTGTATTTCTTGATGTAGAAATCCTTCTGGTTATAAAATCATTAACTGGGTTCTTGCTGAATTCTTGTGCTCCAGGGCAGAAGACGGCATCAGATCTGAGCACAGAACCATACAGAGGCCAAGTCTTAGTGCTCAGAGGATGTTGGTTACTTTCCGTTCTATGGCCTGGACTCTAAGGCAGGGCTTTGGCCCCAGTCTCTCAGGCTTGGTATAGACATGGATACTATGAGAGCTATAGGGGGAAAATCTAAAGGAATATTTCCAACCACCAAAACACAACCACAGTTTACCAATGTTCCTGCTCTCAAAACATACAGAGGTGAAAACGTGGAAAGTGGAAGTTCCAGTTGTGCCGGGCGTTTTTCATCAAGTTGTGCCGTCTGGGAGGAGGAAACCTCGACTAAGAAAACAATGCCTCCAGAAATGCAGGCATGTGAGGTATTTTCTTGATTAATAACTGATGTGGAAGGACCGAGCCCACTGTGGGTGGTGCCATCCCGAGGCAGGTGATCCCGGGTTGTGTAATAAGGCAGGTTGAGCAAACCATGCGAAGCGAGCCACCGAGCAGCATTCCTCCAGAGTCTCTGTTTCAGGGCCTACCTTGAGGTTCTGCAGTAACTGACTTTGAGGAGTATAAACCAAATTCACCCTTTTCTCCACAAGTGGCTTGTGGTCTAAGTGTTCTGTCACAGCAACAGTGACCCTGATGGAAGCAGCCAGAAGGAACATCTTCATAGAGCCACGCCACTTCACACCTGCCGTCCTGGTAAAGCTATTAATAGTGTGACGTTTCATTTGCACGAGGTCACCTATTTGGATTGCTCATAAAGGCATCGTACCTTGATTCTCCCCACAGTCATTATCACTATTTAAAAGCTTGGTGTAGTCCAGCTGCCACGCGAACACGGATGGGGTAAATTCCAAATGGCCTCATCGCTACATGAAGAGCTACGGGTGGTCAGTGGCTCCTGGAAGAAGGAGAACCGGTTTCCTCCAGGGAGGAGCTCCCTTATAGGTTTCCAGGCCCAAGTGATCAGCCCTGGACTCACGTACGTACTGGTAGCATGAAATAGATTGAGTGGGCTGCACATGCATGTGTGTGTCTGTATAAATCTACACATCTATGGAACAGTAATATTTGAAGAGGTCATAAATTTGGGAGGGAAGAGGCAGAGGCAGTAGAGACGTGGATGAAGTACTCACATGTGAAGTTCTCAAAAAAGAAAATAAAACTATATATATATACACCACTTAAAAAGTTTGGTGTGTATGTGTGTGTGTTTTTATATATTTTCTTTATCTTCTTTATAGACTAGCAAATATTTTTCTATCAAAGCAGGACCACGGTAGCTCGCCTTTTTAAAAGAATAGCAATGTGATTCTTCCCCCACTGACTGGACCACAGCCACCTCAGGCCATCTGGTTTTTTGGCTTTCTGGAGGTTTGAGTCACTGCCCCAAGCCTGGCCCCCCCTCCTTCTGCCCCTCAGCTTTCTGGGAGCTGGCCAAGGAACACGGGAGTATGCACGTACCATATACAGAGGTCTGCTGCACTGCTGGACACAGTCCATGTAGAACACCATAACAGCCCTCCGGAAGATCCCCAGATCTGTGTTGATACAATGACATGATGAAAACAAACCGAGAAAATACATATACTGGGAAGTGACGTGACGGTCCCATCTCAGATGACTGGGGGTAAGAAGGGCGCCATCGGCACTCGATTAAAAGGCATGAGACTGCTTTGCACCTGATAGGTGAGCAGTAAGGACAGCAGTTATCAAGCCACAGGGTGCAAGTACCTTGGGGGTCAAACAACCCTTTCAAAGGGGTCGCCTAAAACCATCTGAAACCACAGATATTGATATTAAGATTTGTAACAGAAGCAAAATTACAGTTATGAAGTAGCAACAAAAAATAATTGTGTGGCTGGGGGTGACCACAACATGAGGAAGTGCACTAAAGGGTCACAGCGTTGGGAAGGTTGAGAACCACTGCTGTAGAAAACATTGCTGTCTTGGAGGGTGGGCCGTGCGCCTGGATCATATAACGGAAAGGCTGCCAAGGTATGTGAATGGCAGGCAGCTGCCACCCTTTGCTTCCTTCGGGTAAGCTTAAAGGTCACTCTGGTGAGGTTTCCTGACAGTGGAGATGTAGTGGAACCCTGGAGTCGACCTTAAAACATTTGCTCTCCGTAGTGGGGATTGGAGGCCTTAACTTGTAAATGTTCCAGCCTTCACTTCTTGGTGCAGTCATGAGTTACTAAGTTCTGAACCAAGAGACCCCAGGCTGCGCTAAGAATGGACAGGAAGAGCAGTGGTCTGGAAACAGGATGCAGAATTATTAAGAAATGTAAGTGAAGAGGGGCAGAGAAACACAGAAAGGGTTTTGCAAATGTAGTCCTGCAAAAGGCATGGTCGGAATGGAATGGCGGAAAGGAATGGCGTCAGTGTAAGAGTTCTAGGTCAAAGGAAGCCTCTCTTCCTGTGAGCTCTTCATGTCTTGACATCAAAAGCCTGACTGAATGTGCCCAGAGTCAGCACTGCTGGGAGTGGACGCCCAGCTCTGTCGGGTTTCTCCCCTTCCCTTCCAGGCTAGTCTGGGGGGTGAACTAAGCCAGGAGAAAGGAGACTAGCCATGTGATAGCCCAGAAAGCATGGACCTCAGCATGGTTTGTGATGCAGACTGCCTTCTGACCTCTACTCTGAATCCCCCTCCCATGCACTGCCTGACCTGGAAGGTAAAGGCAGGGGGCAGAGACAGCCAGGTGGGTCTAGACAGTTCAGACCCCTACAAAGGGTCGCAGGACATTACCTGTGTCAGACACATCTGAGTCAGTGGGAAGCAGAGAGGAAAGAAGAGAGAGAGAGAGAGACGAGCTGTAAGAAGGAGGCCACACAGGTAAATCAACCCTCACTCTGTTTTCCTTAAAACGATGGCATTACTTCATATTTGTAAAAGTGGTGTTTGCTCCCCCCGAAGGACATGGATTCTACCTGTCTCAGACACTCAGAAAGCCCCTCCCTGAAGAATAGGCAGAGGAGCCTTTCTCTCCCCTCTCACTTCAGGAACCCATCTTCTCTTATGAACAACCCACGAGGTCTAACTCCTAGCATCTTAGCGGAGGACCCAGCAGTGGTCTGGACAAGTGGCTCTGTCTTCTGTCCACCTGTAACACGCTCTGCCTTGCATTGCACAAATGCCTTCCCTATGAGCTCTCCAGAGAACTGCAGAGAAAGGAATGTGTAATTAGAAAGCAAAGGTGTCGAAATGCGTGGAGAGGTTAGAGATGGCCGAACCACTGTCTAAGAAGGCAACCTCCTGCCTGTGGGCCGACTTGAAACAAAATTCTTGGCACAAGGAAACAGCTGTTAAGTCACAGTCCTCTCGTCCTTCCCCACTATCCTCCTGTGGCCTTCAGCCTCCATCCGCCTTGCAGTTGCAAGCCCAGCCTCACCCGTGACGGCAGGTCCAGCTTCTAACTTTATCTGGTGCCTTCCTGACTTGTAACTCCTAACACACGGGCTGGGTTATACCCACTCCCTCTCCCCCGAGCCTGTAAGAGCAAGGCATTCCCTTTGTCCTCTGAACTGAAGGCCACCACCATTCAGAACCCTGCCCTAGACTCTCTCCTAATGAAATTCTTGGCATCCTGAAGAATCTGTCTCTCTTCAATGTCCCACCATGCTGCCTGTGGCCATGGTACTGTAGCTGTCCTGCTAAAGCTGGCAGAAGAGCAACCCCTTAGCTGCCGTTAGAAAAACCTGCCACCTGTTCTTTCTAACAGCAGGGTTTGCCTCTGCTACATCTAAAACCACCTCAGGATGGTTCTGTGGGCACAGAACTTATATCTTCCAGATGCCCTTCCCACTGCCATACACCTCTCTCCTGCAACTTTTCTGGGGACCTCCCTGTGAGGCTGCCTCAGACTGAACTTGTCTATCAACCAAAGTTCCTTTCAGGGGACTTCCTCTCCATGACACATTCTAATGACCATTTCATCCCTGTTCTAGAAATAAGGACAGTGAGGACTGAATCGCTATTAATCCCAGGTTGCCCCGGGAGACCCCTTAACATACCTCTCACCATGCATGTCTTGTGAATCATCATTTCATGAGTAAATCTTCATTAATCATTGTATGTAACAACTCTTTCTTGCTGTGACCCTCACAAATCACTGCATGGTCCTCATATAAAATTTTCCTTGTGTCTAAGATGTTTATGAGTCAGTGTTATATGACCGCTTGCACATCACTGCCATTGGTATTACAGGACGGTGACAGGGATCGTTACCACTACCTAACTCTGTGCTCATGAATCTGGGAGAAAGTAGAACAAGACTCAGAGTCAGTTTCCTTTTGACAGTTTATATGAATCTCCCAGATTTGGGTCTGGAACGATGAAAACACCTTATCAAATACTCTTTGGAGCAACACTATCTAAGGAAGGGTAGATCTACAAGGAGGAAGCCGTTCTTAGAGACAACCGAACAGCCCATGCTCATGCTGGTGAGTAGCACTGTCATGGAGGAGGAGGGATGAGCCTGTGCTGGCTTCCCGGAGAAGTCAGTGCCTGTGCTTACCTATCTTGAAACGGCCCATGTAGTAGATCTGGGTGCTGAGGGCCAGGGAAGCAAGAATATGGACCGCAGAGAAGATGACCCAGAACCACACATCATTTTTCCCAAACACCTAGGGATAAAGAAGGGGTTAGTGTGATCTGGGGTTTCCTCAGAGAACTCTGTACGACCATTGTGTCTTGTTGAGGCTTACAGTAGCAAACCAAACTTCTTTATATGCAGTGGATTGCAGCTAAGGCGGAGACTCCTAACTGGTCAAAATACTGAGAACTGTGGTGTGCTGGCTAAATGACCATAAGCCTCGGGGAACAACGTGGAAGTGGGGGGTAGAAAGAACTCAAGAGCTGGAGGATGGTGACGAATGTCTTCTGGACATGACAAGGCAGTTGTAGTCATGAACTCACTGAAGCCGTGGCTGTCTGCTCAAGACCTGCACAAGGTCAGGTCAACCAGCCTTCCACCGAGCCTGAGGCACTCAAGAGACCCCACCCCTAGCTGAGGAGTTATTGGCAGTTGCTAACTGCGGGGGGGGGGGGGGGGGGGGAGGAGAGTCATTTTGTGGGGTGGTGTGTAGCTAAGGTAGTGCTCACACACAGGTAGATGGCCTTATACCCATTCTCATGCATACAGCACCAATTAGACTGAGTAGGTTATAAAAACATAAACATGAAGAAGACATGAAGGTTTGGAGGGGAATGTGTTGGGTGTTAGGGGCAGCTTAAAGGGAATTGGGGTGGATGTGTTTGATGCATTAAATACAGGTATGAAACTGTCAAAGAATAAACAAAACTGTTTTTAAAAAGCCACCTAGCCCCAAGTGCGTTTTGTTTTCTTACCTCAAAATGCACAGGGATCTTTCTGTACAGTGGACAGAAAGAACAATGGCTATCTAGTCAAATGAAAACAGAGGAGGGAGAGATGGAATGGTAGCAGAACAACAATGGAGGGGCAGTTGGTCCCAAGCTGGGGAGAATGCTCTTCAAATAACCAAAGGCGGTCAGCAACTGCTGTCTACTGACGTTTAAAAATAGTTCGCCTCTTGGGTTGGTTTATCCAATCAACTTATATTACTGATTCCAGTTTTGACATGATTCAGACTCCTCCATTTTAATATAAAAACCACCCTCAGCTTTTTTACAGGCGATTATCACATGCTTAGAATCCTTCAGCTAGTAACCCAGCCAGAGTGCCATCAAGAGACCCAAATCCACACACCCGAAGCCCAACAAAGAGACACAAACAGCAAAATCCTCCCCACCCCCCAAAGCGGACACTTCTCCAGAGCCAGACTGAGGCAGACAGAGAGGGACCCACCACTCCGAGGACCGTGAGTGTGATGACAGCCGCGAAGGAGGCGTAGGCAGAGTAGGCGCTGGCATTGATGTCTGGGTGGCGGGCCTGATAGAGCTTCAGCATGCAGAGGCCCGCAATCATGTACATGAAGGAAGTGTCTGAGGACCCAAGCCAAAAAGTTCAGTGGGTGATAGGCAATAAGACCCCAGCTTCTCTTCAGCTTCTGCCTGGCCCCTGGCTTAAGTTAGCGGACTATTTGCTGCCGTGTAGAGAAATCTCACACAACAATCCTTCAGGGCGCATCCTCGAGGAAGATCCCGTGTCCCCTATTTCTAACCCTTTACCCCCGCCAATGTATTTTGGTTTACAGAAGGGAAACATCTGATGGGGTGGGTAAGCAGCTGCCTCGCTTGCAAGGGGATGTGCACTCTAAACCTTACATTGGACAATGGTGACAAAACGGAAAATCCTGTAATGGTGATAGTTTAGGCAGAGTGACAGGAATGAGGGTGTGTGTGTGTGGGAGGGGGGGAGTTGTTCTCAGCACTCCAAAATGTAGCCACGCGCCGGGCGGTGGTGGCGCACGCCTTTAATCCCAGCACTCGGGAGGCAGAGGCAGGAGGATCTCTGTGAGTTCGAGGCCAGCCTGGTCTACAAGAGCTAGTTCCAGGACAGGAACCAAAAGCTACGGAGAAACCCTGTCTCGAAAAATCAAAAAAAAAAAAAATGTAGCCACGGTCACTGCCACATCTCCATGCATGGCAATGATAGCCTACTGGGGGAGACAGCTACTCGCTAAATGAGGCTAAGCTGTTGTCCCTCCCGTCATGGGGACAGGAGGCAAAACAACGAGACACCCATGCTACTCAGAACTTCTGTAAAATACAGACAAGCCTGTCAGTGGCCAATGCTAACGGCACTGTGGGAAATAAAAGCTCTCGCACAGCTAGCGTGGGTGGGAATTAATATCCTGGGGAGAAATTTGTCAAACAGAAAACAGAAGGTGCACAAGCCAGGCGATTAAAAAGTCCTGTGGGTGGTGGTAGCGGCTGAGTTTTAATCCCAGCATCCAGGAGGCGGAGACTGGCAGATCTCTGTGAGTTTGAGGCCAGCCTGGTCTACATAACAAATCCTAGAAGAACCATGGCTACATAGTGAGACTTTGTATCAAAAAAATATAAACTGACCACTTAAAATATCTTTATACTTGAGTGTGAGCGGGAGTGTACAGCTTTTATTTTCCTCATTTGTATCCTCTTCTTGTATCTTTTAGATGGCTGTCACTCTATGTAGTCTAGTAACGGAGGTCTTCTTGCCTCCGTTTCCCAGAAGTGCTAACTGTACAGGCAGAGACCACCACTCTCCTTCATTCTTAATATTATTTTAATACTAACTTGGTATCTGCCATCTTTCCAATCAGAACTATTCATTCTTCCAGCCTCAGAGAGGCTAACCCTACTCTTGGAAGGGATGGGTCTGACTGGTCCAAAGTTAACCCAGTTTCCTTTGCTGATGGATGTAGCAGCCTAGATCTGAGCTAACCCATTACCTAGGGAATGAGTCAGGAATGTACTCTGACCTTTAGAGATGCTGAGGTATGAGGGAACTTTTCCCCGAGGTTTCTTAGGAAGACGTTTCCTCGCTCTAAGTAAAGATCCCTACAGGCCACCTTGAACCTGCTCTGAACCTGGAGAAGGAGACTTAAAATCAGGTTCCACTATGGACACATTTGGCCATCACGAGAGAAGTTACCCTTGGGAGAAAACCAATAGGCTAGGGACAATACAAAGGGTCACTTGGGGAAGATAGGGGCAGAGCCTTCAGGTGAACCAATCACAATGTTCTTTCTCCCTCTGCCTTCCAGACAGTGAGCAGTCAGTGTGATGGCCTTATCGTTTAGTTATCTGTAAATGGAGCATTCTGTTACCCCCACTCCCACCAGAGCAGGCTAACTACTCAACTATGTAGGTTACACCAAGGGAAGCCTGAAGAGCAATGATACTTAGCTTGGCCACTGACACTATGTCTCACCGTGGCATCAGCATTCACTGCAGAGTGTTTTCTAGACTAACTGGTTGCCAGAGAGAACAAAATAAAGGTATAGTACACAGAAATCTCGCTCAGTGGCAAGGAACACTTGGATCATTTTAGCCCACCCCAAATGCCTTTTAGTTCCTACAAGTATGAAGTTGATGTTTTCGGAAGGGCTCCAGGATAAGACTCTTGTAACTCGAATCTGGATAAGTCTCCTGTAACTCAAATCTATCACTGATATACATTCTAATTACCGAACTGGAAGTTGGAGTAATTCGGGCAGACATGGTAACAAGCACTGAGAACGCCCTCCATCATCAGCGCAATACCCATGGCATAGAAGAGACCGAAGTGTTTGGGAATCCCATACTCCTGGAAAAAGAAGAAGCCTTGTTAGTAGGCAGACAATCCTGAACGGTGGCCTCAGGGGCTCTACACACAGCTTATCCTCCATCACCAAGCCAGACGTCCCTCGCCGTTGTGGGGCTACTTGAAATCATGGTCCCTCCCAGTTTGTGCCTTTGGTCTGCCGCAGTTTCTCCTCACCATGGCAAAGATGTCTTTAGCTTCCAGGGCTTTTCGATGGAGCAGGTCCCGGCGCAACACTATCAGCAGAAAGAGGAAGCCCAGGAGCACGTGGCCCAGGTTGCTGAGGATATTGTTGAAGGCACTATGGAGAGGAATGAGTGTGAGAGCCATCACGGGGACCCATGCAAAAATGAGCTGGGGACCTCAGCATTCGGTGCTTTCCACTACTGACCTTTCCCTGGGCCTTCAGGCTTGGTCAATCACCAGGAGCCCTCTTTAATCTAACTTCTTGATTGGAAGATGCTCACTTGACTTAACCTAACTGTATCTTCTCAGGGATGCCTGCTCACCATCCCTAACACCGGCCTGATCATCTCTTGTCCTCACAGCCCCGGCAAAGCATGAGTCCTGATAAAGAGCTGGTCCAGAGACAGACAAGAATTTAAGCTATGACGCTCATCGGCGGACCCACAGTGTGTCAATAGTCAAGTCGCCAACTGTGGATTTCAGGGTAAGCGCAGAGGCATCACCGACAGTGGCTGTATTTCAGGAAATCAAGGCTGGTTCTGCTCTATAGTGAGAAGTTGGGTCTCTACCTCTCAGGAAGAAATTTTCTTTCACCCAGTTCTGGGGTCTTTAGGTTTGTGGATGAACTCTGGCATTACAAAGAAATAAGGAAACCAAATTCAGCAAACCTTACCCGTCTAAGTTTTAGCATCTTCATCTAAAATGGTGGTGCTAATAATGGCTACCTCTCACTGAGCAGACTGAATGAGAGCTGGCCACTAACTTAAGTTCAGGGCATGTGCCGCCCATAGCTGGGAATCTGGCTTTTAAAAACCTCACTGTCCACTTCTCAGCAGGCCACTCTTAGGGATTTTGTCTGGGAGAGAAGCGTACCTGGTCTCTACATCTGACTTTAATTCCTCTTTGTCCTGACTAGGGTAGTTTCTTCAGTTGCATTTCATGCTTGCAAAACCTTAAGTCAGACAGAAAGACTCTACTGCTTCATGAGGAACCAGGGGGCTGGGTTTACCTCAGGACGCCCCAGGGGTGGGCACAGAGGAAGTTGTAGTAACAGATGTCCTGGTTGCCAGTGACGTTTACCACCTATAACATCAAGTGAGAGAAGAGGAAATGTGGATTTTCTCCATCCTCTGAGTCTGCCCAAAGTCACTAAGAACAGAACAGACTCGGAGGAAATGGAGACGTCCCATTCGCCGAGTGCTCCACCTAGCAGCCAGGGAGGAAGTATCTAGTTTTCCTTGTCTAGCTCCTTCTCCATCAAAAACCTACCCAAATCATAGCAAGCTGAGCTTCTGACAGGGTTGCCATGAATAGAGAGACTGTTTAGATTATAAACAGTGTTGTTCAAACCTTATAGAGACTTTGTCTTCATTATGTAATGAGAATAAATGGACTAACCATTTTACGTCACTGGCTTGGCTATGCAGAGAAATCATAGAGGATTTCAACAACACTGATGCACGGTTCTACTTCCTGAGGCACTGATCTGCTTGGTGTGGGGTACCACCCTGGAACCTGTGATTCTTAAAAGTGCCCCATGTGATTTTAACACATAGCAAAAATTGAGGGACGGTGCATATAATGTCTTTAGCCACATATCATTCTAAATGGGCCTTCTCAGATCTCGTAATTTCTAGAAAATTTATACTTAGAAATATGGATCCCAATTAAATTCCTACTTTGGTGACTTGCATCCAGAGTTTCTGTGAAGGAGCAGTGGGCATTCTCCAGCTGTTTTAGTGTGAAACTTTTTATTCAACTTTCAATGTTTTGTTGTTGGTTTAATAATTTCCATGAAACTGCTTTTAAACCATTTGAAAAAGATTTATTTATTTTATGTTTATGAGTGTTTTGCTTATATGTATGCCTGTGTACTGCCCATGTGCCTGACATCCACAGAGGTCAGAAGAGGGTGCTGGATTTCCCTGGAACTGGAATTACAGATGGTTGTGAGAGGCCATGTGGGCACTGGGAACCCAGGACCTCTGCACGAGTTACACGTGTTCTTAGCTGCGGAAACATCTCTCCAGTCCCTTGCTTTTTATAGTTTTACAGACTATCCTTAATTAGCAGGTACAGGCTAAATTAGTACTTCTGGCTTCCTTTGACAAGTCTGGAGATCTTATTTTGTTTTACTTTCTGAGGCATTTCACGTTGGTTGCCCAGGCTGGCCTTGAACTTCCTATCTGAGAAGACCTTGAACTTCTGATACTCGGGCATCCTTGTTCTTCTTTCTGGGGTTACAGGCGTGTTACATTTGTTTGTGAGGTGCTGGAGTTGAACACAGAGTTTCACGCCTTCTAGGCAAACTCTCCCCACTGAGCTACAGCCCAAGTCGGTTAGTCTAGAACTTTATTTACTCCCCTCACTGTTTCCTGACAGTCACACACTCAGAATGACAAATAAGAGGTGCCATGGACAGACATCATGGCTGAATGACTGCTTTTATATTGGTAAGGTCCAACATAAAGTGCCAGGTCTTCTGTGCTGAAATAATTGGGAAATAGGTGGGAAAGGTCTCAGAGATGAAGTAGCTAATGGAGAAGTCCAATTGGAACCAGAATGGGAAATCTCTTGGAGGCTGGTGTGTACGCCTTTCATCCTAGCACATGGGAGGCAGAGGTAGGTGGATCTATGACTTCGAAGCCAGCCCAGTCTATATATCCAGTTCCAGTACAGCCAGAGCTACGGAATAGAGAGACCCTGTTTCAAAAAACAACCAAAAAAAAAATAGTGCTTGGGACTGAAGAGTGGCTAAGATGGCTTAGTGGTTACAAGCACACACTGCTCTTCCAAAGGACTTGAGTTTGGTGCACAGCACCATGGCAGGTAGCTCACAACTGCCTGTAGCTTCAGTTCCGGGAGGTTCAGTCCTTATTGCTTCTTCAGGCATCTCTCTCTCTTTTTCTCTCTCTGTGTGTCTGTGTTTCTTGTATTCACACACACACACACACACACGAGATGGGGGAAATTAAAAAAATAATAATCTTTAATAAATTAGTTTTTGAACTGCTCCCAAGCTCAGTGGTTCCCCGTAAGCCAGTGATGACTTTCCCTACAGACAGAAGGTGAACGCCTGCGCAGCACTTACCGTCTGGTAGGTGATAACGAGCTGCATCACGGGCAGAGCGTAAAACACAGCGATGGTGATGATGTTCCTACGACAGAATGAACCACACACGGTGACCCCAGGATAACACTGGATTCTGCTCAGCTTGTCCACCTCACAACTCCACACTTAGCTTGCAAAAGCAACAGGGGCTGGGGTAGGGCTCCTGATTCTGAAGTCTGCCTGTCCTTTCCTGTGCATGTGAACATTTGGTAGACAGGTGGACAAAGTGGACATAGGGAAGAAAATGCAACTTACTTGAGCTACTGCCATTGGTTTGGCTAAGCAAAGAATCCTTGCACTGTTAACTGAAATCATCGAATCATACATTTATTTAATTTACTGGAGATAGAGTCTTGCTGTGTAGCCCTGACTGGCCTAGAACTTGCTATTTGAAGCTGGTCTTGAACCTGCAGTGATTTCAAGAGCTGTGGTTATGGACAAGCCCTCATGCCGACCTGAAATTAGTATTTTAAGCTAACTATTGGCACTCAAGAAGCTGAAGTTCTTCCTCCCCCTCCTTTCTTCTTCTTTGTACAATCATTTGTAAAACAAAATAAAATCTACGTCTTATCTAATCATACCATCTATACAAATCATACCAAACATACATTGTTATATTAAATATGGTTAGAATGCAAGGAACAAGTGAAGTATAACTTGTGGGGGCTCTTGTAGACCAGGCTGGCCTCGAACTCACAGAGATCCGCCTGCCTCTGCCTCCCCAGTGCTGGGATTAAGGGCGTGCGCCACCACTGCCGGGCTTTGTGGAGGCTCTTAAATAACATTTAGTTCCAAAACATAGTTCAGCTATGAAATTCCATTTGGCTCCCTGACTTCATTCTAATGTCTGCTTCCAGAAGTAAGAGTATTCTCCAGAAAAGTAAAAATGAGGGTGTGTGTGTGTGTGTGTGTGTGTGTGAGACAAAAGACCACAGTTTAGAGCTTTCTAAACAGAGAGAAGCCCCTTTCCAGGCAGCTCAGCCTCTTGACTGGGAGTAAGGACATGCCATGACTGTGGCCACATTGCAGGTCTTTTTTGTTTCAAGTTGGAGGCGTCGCCATCCATAGCATGCCTTATTCAACACTAACTCCTCGCGATAGAAGTGGTAGTAGCTTTTACAAAGAAAAATTTAAATTTAAAGAATGCAGAGGCTGAGCTTGTAGACTTGCCTTTCCCGGTAAGTGTGGGCTTGGGTTTGATCCCTAGCATTGCCGTACACACAGGCATCAAAACAAATAGACTGAAGTGATTCAGTATTTTAAGGAAACTAGGATCCCACTGGTCATCTACTTACCAAAAATAAATCTTAGACTTTTTGCTGACGATTCTCCGATCCTTCCTGGACAGATCTGACAGGTACAGGAATACCTAAGACACCAACAGGAAGAGAATGCAGAGCTGAGCTTGGCTTTTCTTGTATAGGACACAGGGAGACCCTTAGAAAGTTGAGTTTAGTCCCCCAGGGATTAACATTATTCATCAAGATGTTTCCTTTAATTTTGCCTTTCTCCAGATACTGCGATAAAAATACTCCTATTCTTGGCACACCGAGGGTCCAGCTGATGCAGGAATCCTACCTCTCAGAAGTACTGAACACACATCTCAGGGTCCGGCTGATGTGGGAATCCTACCTATCAGAAGTACTGAACACTTCACACATCTCCGACACTGGCTGCTCAGCTTTCAGATCTGCTCACCCTGCCATTCCTGAATTGCTTATGGTTGAAACTGTGTGATTTTTGCTCATATCTTTTGGTAGGTAAAATACAATATATTAAACATATGCCAGAAAGAAGCTGGCTTTGCTCGCAAGTGTGGTGTGCACACAAATGAGGACGGGTTCTAGAGCAGCCCTGGGGCAAATCTCAATTTCCATCAGGCTGGATCACTGTTCACCAACACTTGGGTGCTGAGGCTGTGGAATGCCCTGTTCTGCTTCATCTGATGAAGAGGCTGTTGTCTTGGGCTCTCGCTATGTTCCACCTAAATCCTTCGGAAGATTTAACCTCCCTTCAAAGGAAGAAAATATTAAGGAAACTGAGGCACTGATGATGTTTACTTCACTACCAAACCTTCTTCCATTTCAAAAACTACAGCCAGGGAGCCTTGGTACCTTTGTCCGGATGATGTTTTTGTCGCTTTCAATGTCTGGCATGGTGTCGAAGTCACTCTCTTCCACGGAGCTGTCCGTGTCCGAGTGGCACGGCTGTCCACCATCGGAGGAAGACATCTGTCTTCCAGGACTGGAACTCGACTCATCTGTAACAGAAAACTCTCTTAAGCTGAGAGCTGTCTATGCCGTCCATTCCTCTGCAGAAAGCGCAGTGATTGCTCCAGAAAAGCCCGAGTTGGTCCTAGTCAACTCTTTGCCAACAGGACAGACCCCTCTGCTGCCTTCTCGAGTGGCCTCCATTCTCTCTTTCCTCCCATTTCAGATCTGAGGTGTCTATTTCTAGGGCTGACTATAAAGAACAGAATGGCATCTGCTCTGTAGATATCTGGATGCAGAAATGGCATTGTGCTTGTGGTTCATGTTTCATATTTTAAGGTATGAACACAGATGTATGAGGACACCCAGACAGGGTTATAGATAGCTTCTATCATGCATGTGGGTTAACACATACATATCCAACTGCTGTACACTTTTCACAGACTGTTTACCCAGAGAAAGCCCCCACATGGCATTTCCATCATTGCGTAATGAAAACAACATTTTCAGGAGGAGCTCTTCTGTTCTCAGGAATGTTCTAGAGCAGATGGGATCTGTGCAGCTCGAGCACATGAGCTGAGCCTACCTTCCGCTTTATTCCTTCTGTTCAGATGGTTTAAAAACAACCCTGTTTTAACAGGACTAAAAATAAGCAGGCTGCACTGAGCCCACATGCTCAGAGTTCCAGAACAACGGAGCAGTGCGACAGGGCCTCTGGGAGACTGTTTAAAAGGCACACCATTCGTCATGGCAGGGGCCGGCAGCCCAGGCACTGCTGCCTTCCAAGGTGGGTGTGGAGGGGTGGTCTGGTTCCCTTCAGTCTGCTTCATGACATCTAGGTTTGCCCAGTGAACAGCTGTGTGGTCCTGAGTAGACCCAGCGTGAACTTAGTCGAGGTGAAGGGCTGTTCGGCTCTAGCTATGCCGACTCGCAGCAACTGCTTTAGTCTGCTAAGGCCCTACTCCACTGACACCTAAGAAGGAAGTGACCCGGTCAGTTGACAGTCCCTGGCTGTGACAAGTCTTTCAAGTCCTAGACTCAAGGGTAGAGGACTTTCTGTGCAGGCCTGAGGATCTGAGTTTGATTCAGATCCCACAGAGTAGCAGGAGAGAAGTCAGAAAGGTCCTCTGGCCTCCACTCATGCGCACCCGCGCACACATAGGACACACGCACACACTACAGATGAACAAATAAGGGTTTCAGTGTGTAACAGGTGCTTGCTGCCACACCCACTGATCTGAGTTCAGTCTCTGGGGCCCACGTAGGAGAAGGACAGAATCAAACACTGCAAGTTGTCCTGTGACCCCCGATATGCACATGCTCCACCACCAAAACAAAGAAATAAAAGTGTAATAAAAAAAAGTTAAGTCCTAAGGGAGCCTTGGACGTTGATGGCAACCACTGTAGTGAGTTCTGCTCAGGTGTAGCTAGCAGGTCCAAGAAACAGAACAATAGAACCCTAGAGGGCGCCGGAAGGAACTTCTCAGGATATCCAGCCAGTACATCTTTTAGACGTAAGAGCAGTTTCATTAGTTTTGCACTAATCTCTGTAGAATAAGGACAGACTTCTACCCAAGGACTCATTGTAGGAAGTACCGATTGCCCCATAGTTGCTCCCTTCCGGTGTACTGGCAGTGATAGGATGTGATACAGCCATATTTCCTGCAGCAAGAAACAAAACAAAGAAAGAGAGATGGTTTATTCTCAGCTGCTGAAGTAAAACCACACAACTTGGAGTAGGCGAATCACTAAGCAGAAATCTTTAAGTTTGATTTTCTTCCCACTTTAATGCGGAAATCATCATTAGGGCTCACAGATCAGATACAGCCTGCCACCACTTTCTGTATGGTTCGTAAAAGAAGACTTGTTTTAAAACCTCTTAGTTTGTGGAGAAAATTCAAAAGAACTATAATAATATTTCATGGCATGTAAAACTTGCACAAAATTAAAATTTCAATATTCCAGAACAGAGTTGGATCGAAACATAGCCAGCGTCATTTAGGTACAGATAGGCATTGTTTCTACGGTGACATGTTTGGGTAGTTACAGGTTAGATCATATGTCCCCAAATGTCTTACATGTGAACCACTTGACTCTACACACGACAAGTTCGCTTGGCAGTGCAGCAGAGTTGTAGGAGCAAAGGACTGTGGGTCTAGAATCACCATGGCAAGTGCAGAAGAGAGCCACAGAAGTTTGGGGTTTATTTATAGTACCCTAACTACAGGTAAGAAAGACATCACAACACCCACTAGAGCCGAGTGATGAGCCCGGCAATTGAGGGCATGGGAGAAGCCCGCGTTATTTCGAGGGCTATGAAGGAGGTCCATCTGCCGCTAATGGGTTGCTGACAGATTAAAGCAGACCCTAACATTCTCAGTGAAGCCCAGGGCTCCTAGTAACAAGGAGAGTGGCCCCCTTTCTCCGAGAGTCCAGGGGTGCCTCAGGAGTCATCCCACCACGTGCAACAGGAAAGTACCTTCAGTCTGTTCTGTGACTACCAGAAAAAGCGTTACTCCTTACAGTTAATCTGTTTCTGAGACTTAGGAAAAATGGACTGAGAGCCGAGGCTACAAATTAGCAGCCATCCAGGCAGCTTCTCTGACCTAGTGCCACAGTATCTGCTGGAGCCAAACTCATCCCGGGAATCCGAGACAACGTTCCTTCTCTGCTCTTGGAACTTTGCCGAGAACTTGGATATTGAAGGGTTGGTGGGAGTTTTGAGCAGTTCCTCTTTTTGAGAGTTGCTCTCACCAGTCACAAGACCGCCATAAGGGCTCAGAGTGATATTCTCTCTCTCTCTCTCTCTCTCTCTCTCTCTCTCTCTGCCTCCCTCCCTCCTTTTCTCTTCTATTTCAATATGATTTGGGGACCTGGATCCAGGCCCTTTCATGTTTCATGCAATCTCTCTACTACTCAGCTACATCCCTGGGGAACTCAGTGGTGTCTTACGCTGTGTTAGGGAAGAACTTTCAGTGAATGTACCTAATATTCGGAAACATCTGTGACTTTACCGAAGATGTCATTCGTCATCAGATAAAAGCAACAATGTGCCACACACGTAAAAAAGATGCGAATGTTCTGAGCACTTCCTGGTCACCGTCAACTTTCTTCCTCCCACTTCCAGACTTTGCTCCACGGATGGTCTCTCAAAAAGTCATAGTTTTTGAGGTCAACTCACCAGGCTTCATCACGTGCTTCTCACTTTTAAACCCATGGTGTCCCTATTGATTTCCTCCGCCGGAGAAAATAACTAAGTGCCAAATTAAAGATTTCCAGACAGGCGACAAATCTGCCAGCCTGGGAGATTCATTTTCCTTTCTCCCTTCAGTGAATGAGCTAAGGGCTGCCTCAGCTGGTCCGTGAGACTTGGAGCTGATGCAGTGTTCTTGACAGGCCAGGGTGTTTCCAGGGCCTGCAGGATGTAGACTCTGATGTTCAGCAAGCATGCCCCCGGCATTGTTTCTGGGCTTGATATATTTATTATTTAGAGAGCTAAGGTCTCTGCACTTCCTTGGGCTAACATAAGAGTACACAGCATGATGTCAACATCATGCATGCTTTACGCCCAAGTTCAAAGCTGAGAAGCAATTATCTTTACGCACATTGTATTGTACAGGGGACTTGCAAACCTCTATCACTGAACTATATTCCCAACCTATCTTCAGACTCTTGAATGTTAAGAATCAAATTTGGCTGTCTCCTTCTCGATAAGTCAGTTCTGGCTTCACTGTAACATAGAGTTTGGCTGCCGTTCCTGTTCCTGTTGACCACAAGCACTGCTATTACCAGAGCCACCACCACTCCTGGTGGCCTCATTGCTGTGACAGATGCTGCCATGCCTCCACACTGAAGAGAACGTATTGTATCAGACACTCTTGACTTTTCAACAGCCCTAAGAGGTAAGGGCTATTATTACCACCATTTTAAAGATGATAAAATAGATGTGCTGAGAGATCAAGTAGCTTCCCTAGCCAGCCAGAAAATGGACAGGGAGCAGCTCGTTGGGCTGCAGCTACTAAAATTCACCTTCTTTTTGCAAAATTTATTTTGTTGTATATACTTAAGAGGATAACACATTTATATATCTCTCTCTGCGTGTGTGTGTGTGCATACATGCACACAGCAAAATAATGACCACATGTTGGCAAAGTGTCCAGCTTCCCAGTGAGGGGACAGCACAATGTGAGAAGTCTCATGGGATTTCTTCCGTTTTGCGAACCTGCTTCTAGCATTTGCTCTGAGCCCAGCCCTCGGAGTGTTTCCTGTTGCTTTAAGCTTCTCACAGACAGTTGTTCTTACTGACGGGAGAGAAAGACATTTCCCCCCAAGGTTCTTCCTGTGAGTGTCTCCTGGTATAGCACACGCCTCTCTGGCTCTCTCTCCTGACTGATCTTACCAGGCTCAGCTCCAGAAGCCTGAAGGTCATGGGACACTGGCGGTGTTGCCAGCTCTACTTGTAGCTTCTCAGTACACAAAGGCTACTTATCTCCTCCTGTTTCAAAGCCCTCTGTGGCAAGCATACCTGTTTTCTACTTCCTGAATGGATGAAAACACCTGTTTTCTTTGGGTGTCCTCAACCTGAGGTCCGCGGCTGGAGCATGTAAATTGGTGATTCTCCAGTTTTAGCCTAAGATGACATCTGGCCATGTGTGACCAAGATACTTGTAGTTATCACAAGGAGGAAGTGTACTTTAATCCAACAGTGTATAGAACATCCCAAACAACAAAGAATTATGAATCTTATAATGTCAATAATGTTGATGTTGAGAAAAATTATGGTCTGAGAGAAAAAGGACTTAATAATAATTCTAAAACTACATTTACTTGCCCGCCCTCTTTTGAGAGAAAGTCTCATGCATCCTAGGCTGGTCTTGAATTCACTATATACTTCAAAGGATGATCTGCAAGACTTCTGATCCCCCTCCTCCACCTAATAAGTGCTAGATTACAGGCATGCCCAACTCAACCAGTTTATATGGTGCTGGGGGCGTTAATCCAGGGCTTAGGGGAAGGTAGAGTGGTACTCTGCCACCTGAGCTACACCCCAACCATGCAACTATCTCTGTATAGTAACTTATTTATTTAACATTAAGGATACAGCCGGGTGGTGGTGGCGCACACCTTTAATCCCAGCCCTGGGAAGGCAGAGGCAGGTGGAACTCTGTGAGTTTGAGGCCAGCCTGGTCTACAAGAGCTAGTTCCAGGACAGGCTCCAAAGCCACAGAGAAACCCTGTCTCAAAAGAAAACAAACAAAGAAACAATAAGGATATGATACATTCTATACCAAGAGATCACTAGAAGTTGGTGAGGTCTTCTGAGATTGACACAAAGAATGTGAGCCTTGACCCGTCTTCCCCATTATCCCTCAGAGTAAAGGAAAGAGTGCAGGGGCTAGAAGGGAAACAGATGCCCCTCGACCAAAGAATGAATAAGAGAAATGTGGTATATTTACACAATGGAGTACTACACAGCAGAAAAAATAATAATGTCTTAAATTTTGCAGGCAAATGGATGGAGCTAGAAAACAGTATTTTGAATGAGGTAACCCAGATACAGAATGACAATTATCACATGTACTCACTCATAAGTGGCTTTTAAACATAAAGCAAAGAAAACCAGCCTACAATTCATCATCCCAGAGAACCTAGACAACAATGAGAACCCTAAGAGAGACATACATGGATCTATCTACATGGGAAGTAGAAAAAGACAAGATCTCCTGAGTAAACTGGGAATATGGGGATCTTGGGAGAGGGTTGAAGGGGAGGGGAGCAGAGAAAAATATAGATCTCAGTGAAAATCAATAAAAAGTAAAGTATCACAGCCATGGACAAAGGAGGAGGAGGAGGAGGAGGAGGAGGAGGAGGAAGAGGAAGAGGAAGAGGAAGAGGAAGAGGAGGAGAAGAGAGCACTACACTCCATTTACCCTGGAAGCTCCCCTCCCTGGCTTTGCAGGCTGGGGATCCTCTGGAATAGAAGTACATTCTGCAGTGACCGCCATTGCTATGTGGATCTATGTGAGCAGACGGATACACCTTCACCTTTTCAGTCACTCGCTGCTGTTGTCATCTGCAGGGTGCTTCTGCTCAGTTGTCTGTACTGTGCCTGATTTCCAACAATTATCTGGTTCAGGCCTGAGCCCCACTGATGTCTGTTTCAATGTTTAAGGGACCCTTCTGAACATGAATTCTTTTAGTGATTATAGCAATCACAAAATTCTACATCATTTATACCTCGAAAGAAACAACAAACCCTTCTATTGAGAGGGCACTTAACAAACTCGAACCTACTGGGTTTAAGCCCAAATTCTAAAGGGCCTAATTCATTTTATATATTTTACATTTATGTTTTGTATATTTTGCTATGATTAGCAAAACCTGGGGAGTACGGTAGAAAAGATGGGCTCCAGGCACGTCGACTGAAATGTTTTATAAACAACAGCGGAAGCAGAGCGTTGCCTTTGAGCACTCCAGGAGCAGGTGTCTTTTTCAGTCTTTTATATTGAATGGTTATTAAAACAAAGAGCCATGGTGCCGGGAGGGGGTGCTGGAGAAACAGACTAGCTGTTTCTTAAGGAAGACAAAGGCAAACACCAAAAAGCCTTCCAGCCAAGGGAGAAAATCCTGCTGGGTGGAGGCAGCAGCCAGTTGGTATCTTTCTAGGATTCTCTGGACTCATGTGAAAAGCATAGAACTAAATATTGACTACACCTGCCTTCAAATGAAGTCCATCCCATCTGCCATTTCCAATTCTCACTCCTTCTAAACAACCTAGGAGCTTACGGCGAGCTGGGTTTGTCAAATCCAGCACAGGTGAAGTCTTAAGTTTTAGTAAAAATATAGAACAATTAAAATCCTTTGTGGGAATTCTCAGAGTGGAAGGATGGGTTAGGTAGGTATTTATGCTGGGTTCCTCAATTATTACATCTTTTATTGTGCTTGTTAGCCTCAAATATTTTGATTTTCTAGATGCTTAAACAAACACACACACACACACACACACACACACACACACACACACACACACACACAAAGCTTTTTGAATCTCAAAGGGAAAGCACACTGCATGAGGGTTGACGTAATACATTCTCACTGCTCTTCCCAAGGCAGCGTAGGGATGCAGCAAGCAGGTGTGAGCCGCCAGACATGTCCTAGTGCAGAGACAACATCTGGAAGAGGTGAGCGGTTGGCAAGGGCTCTATGAATAATTGAAGGGCATTTCGGGTACAGATTCTTTGTGTGGTCCCCAGGTCTCAATAGCTACCAACTATAAAACTGTTTCTCACTAGCCCTGCCTTCTGTAGAAAGCCTGTGGATGAGAGGATAAGAATCAAAGGGGGAGAGAGAAGAGAGACAAAAGGTGCTCAAAAGGATGTGGCCGCCCGGTGCAACATCATTTGGGATCAGGAATTAACCAAGGAATGCTCTTACCGTCACTGCAACCAAAGCTCCCATCAATGGATTTCCTCTGAAACCTGAAAGCAAGCATAGATACAAATACATCTGTATATACACCCACATTCTCTAAGATTCAGCAGTTTGCACTAGCTTCCTATACACTCCGTTGAAAATTTGTCTTCCAGGATCACTTAAAAATGGCCTTTGGAGAAATCACTGGCAGGACTTTAAAATGGCATAGCCACTTTGGGTGACAGTTTGGCAATTCCTCTGAGAGCCAAACAGACTGATCATATATATGACCCAGTGCGTCTATTCTCAGGCATGTACATTATTAAGATTCACTTATTTTCAGACATAAACTTGACATCACAACATGTGTCTTTCAAAGCACATAATTCAGCATGTTTTAATATATTCAAATAAGTGCACAGCTGTCACCACGGTCTAATTTTAGAACATTTCATGCCCCCATCCAAAGTGCTATGTCTGTTACACATAACTCTCCATTCTCCCCTGTTCCCTACTCCTTGCTCATCTGCTTTCTGCCTTTGCAAATTTACCTCTTCTAGACAATTTATATAAATGAAATCATTGCACGAGCAAGGAACTCAGGACCGCGAGGGGTACACCCACACACTGAGACAATGGGGATGTTCTATCGGGAATTCACCAAGGCCAGCTGGCCTGGGTCTGAAAAAGCCTGGGATAAAACCGGACTTGCTGAACATAGCGGACAATGAGGACTACCGAGAACTCAAGAACATCGGCAATGGGGTTTTGATCCTACTGCACGTACTGGCTTTGGGGGAGCCTAGACAGTTTGGATGCTCACCTTACTAAACCTGGATGGAGGTGGGCGGTCCTTGGACTTCCCACAGGTCAGGGAACCCTGATTGCTCTTTGGGCTGATGAGGGAGAGGGACTTGATCGGGGGAGGGGGAGGGAAATGGGAGGCGGTGGCGGGGAGGAGGCAGAAATCCTTAATAAATAAATAAATAAATAAATAAGAAATGTAAAAAAAATAAATGAAATCATTGTACACATGAACTTTTTTGACTGGTTTCCTTGATACAGCATATTTTAAAGGTTAATCCATACTGTAACAGGTATTGGTGCTTCAATACATTTATGGTTGAGTAATATTCCAGTGTTTGTGTGTGTGTACTATATTTCATTTTTTCCCCTCGATGAGTACTTCCTATTGTTTCTGTTTGCTGTGCAGTAAAACAACACTGCTATGACCACTGTGTTCATGTTTTTTTCTATGGATACATCTTCATTTCTCCTGGTTATGTAAGTCGAGGAAGCCTGAGGCCACTCTGTGTTTTACTCTCCCTAACTGTTTTCCACAAGGGCTGTAGAGAAAGCACCGTTTCACATTCCACAGCCAAGGCTAAGGATTCCCACTTTCTTCCTACAACTCTGCCAAGTCTCATCTTCTATTTAAAAATTTGTATTATGTCAAACCTTTGGAGTTGGACACGTCATTGCAGCTTTGATTTGCATTTCCCTGAGAGCTATTGATGAACGGCTGCTCACATGCTTGTTGGGCATCCATGCATCTTATCCAAAGTGTCTGTTTAAATCTTTCACCCATTTTTTTTTTTTTGGTTTTTCGAGACAGGGTTTCTCTGTGGTTTTGGAGCCTGTCCTGGAACTAGCTCTTGTAGACCAGGCTGGTCTCGAACTCACAGAGATCCGCCTGCCTCTGCCTCCCAAGTGCTGGGATTAAAGGCGTGCGCCACCACCGCCCGGCTTTTCACCCATTTTTTTAATGATTTAATTTTTTTAACTTATGTGTATGTGTGTTTGTCTGAGTGCAGGTATGTGCACATGAGTGCAATGTCCACGGAGGCCAGAAGAGAGCGCTACATCCTCTGAATCTGGAGTTAACAGGTGGTTGTGAGCCCCCTAGACAAACTGATGCTGGGAATTAAACTTGGACCCTTTGGAGGATCTGGTAGCCCTCTTAACCTCTGAGCTATCTCTTCAGCCCCTCAACCCATTTTTAATGATCTCTTTCTATTGCTGAGTTGTAAGAATTTTTAGTATTGTCTAGATATTAACCTCTTATTAGATTTACAATTTGCAATGTTTTTATCCCATATTGTGAACAACAGTATTACTTTATTGATATGATTGTTGAAGCATAAAGTGTTTCATTGCTTGTTAAGTTCAATTTATACATTTTTATTGTACTTTTGGTGACTAAGAAAGAATTACCTAATCCAAGGCCATAAATTTACACCCATATTTTCTCTTTAGAGTTCTATGGTTCCAGCTTTTAGGTTTTTGATCCAAGTTTGAATTAATATCTGTGTATGGTATGAGGTAGGAGCCAGCATCACTATTTCTTTTTTCATGTGATGTCTAGTTAATAGCACCACGTATTGGAAGAAACAGCTTTTCTCTACTGAACTGTTTTGTGGAACCCTGACCATTAGGAAAGAGGTTATTCAGAGAGAGCTGGCATGAGAGCCCAATGGGCAGCAGCACTTGCTGCTGAACCCAGAAACTTGAGCTTGGTCCCTCGGAAGCCATGTCATGGAAGGAGAGAAACACCTCCATAACTCCCACAATTTATCCTCTGACCTCCACACGTATGATCTGTGCCCAGGCATGTGTGTACATGCAAGCACATGCATACCCTAAATATAAACATTTTCCCAGAAGAGTTTGTTTGTGGCCTCCCTCCTCTAGCCCACAGGACTGTCAGCTGCAGAGTCTTGATTGTCAAGGCTTTGGAACGAGCTTTAATATCAGGAAGTGTCAAGTGCTCTAAATTTTGTTATTTTTATTCAAGATTTGGTTGTGTATTCTCTCTATATAGCAAAGGAAACAGTTAACCAAGCAAAGAGACTGCCTATAGAATGGGATAAAACCTTGGCCAGCTATTAGTACCTAAAATAAAAAAAGAGAACTATGCAAGGATCCAATCAGCCCAATCAATAAATGGGCTAATTAAATGAACAAATGAACAGGTAGTTCTCCAGAGTGGAGATACAAATGGCCAATGATAAAAAAAAAAAAGGCTCAGCCTTGTTACTAATGAGAGGAATCCAAACCAAAACACATTGAGTTTTTAATCTGACGAAGTCATCAAGAAAACAAGCTGGGTGGTGGTGGTGTATGACTTTAATCTCAGCACTTGGGAGGCAGAGACACACTGATCTTTGTGACTTTGAGGCCAGCCTGGTCTACAGAGGGAGTTTCAGAACAGTAAGGGCTGCATGGAGAAACCCTGTCCTTCAACAGTCCCATGCAGACACAGAAGAAGGAAGAAAAGGCTACCTCACTGAAAAAGGTACTGAGCCATGTGGCTAACATAGATAAGAGTAATGGTTTAATAAAAGTTATAAGAGTTAATAAGAAGCCTGAGCTAATGGGCCAATTAGTTTATAACTAATGTAGACCTCTGTGTGATTTTCTTTGGGACTTAACAATTGTAGGAACTGAGCAGTACAGAAAACCCTGACAACATGGAGGCTTCTCAAAAAACTGAACACCAATTGACCCGATGACCCACCCTTGCCATTCCAAGTCTGTATGTCCCAGAAACATCCTCATACCAATCTTTATTGCTGCACTGTTCAAAATAACTTAGTTACAGAGCCAACCTAGGTGTTGAACAACAGACGAATGGATAAAAAAAATTATGACATGTATACACAATGAAGAATGAAGTTATGTCATTTACAGGAAATGGATGCAATTGAAAATAATCATATTGAGTGAACTAAGCAACTCTCAGAAGGACAAAGAGCCTATATTTTCTTTCACTTGTGGTTCCCAGACTTGAGTAGATACAGAAAACAATATATGTATAAATGAAAAGTTCTTGGCTACTCTGTGTCCTTTACATCTTCATGTGTGTTTTAAGATGAATTTGCTAACTTCTGTTTTTAAAAAAAACAAGTTGGTACTTGGTAGGGATCAGCCTGACTATTCCATCCAGAAGGATGCTGTAAGGAAGGTCTTTCTGAGAAAATTTATAATTTGTAATATAATATATTTGGAGTCATGAGCTTTACCCATGCTTGAATTAGTTCCCTGGAACATCCAGAGTTTTTCACGAGAGGAGTTAAGTAATTTTCACAGCTAAGGCGAAGAAGCAAGTATCTATCTAGTTAGTAATTTAAAATAGATGGAAACTATGCTAGGCTGGCTGAGGTGGACGCATGCACACGGACTTTTAGTCTGGAAACTAGCTAGCCTCATGACTCATACATAGTCCAGTAGGTAAGGGGGAATACCTCTGAGCCTATAACCTGAGGCTTGCACTGTGTGCTCTCCCTGAGGTCCCACAATCCCAGGCTGGCCTGCTGGAATATTGAGACCAAGTGCCACTGAGGCTATTCTAGGACTGACAGTTTCTTCCACCTGCCAGCAGGTCACATTTTGTGACCACATCCAGCTGAGATTCCTGAGCCCAAGTGGGATGACACTAAGTCTCTGGATTGTATACTATGAAGACATGAATTGATGGTTTGTGATTTTTTTTCTCAAAGAAGCCATTTTTCTAAATGTGTCATTTGGAGCTATCAATCAAAACAGAACCTGTGGTCTTCTGCAACTGCTGTGTACTGTATATTTACAGTGACAACATGGCAGTGGGTAAAATGATCACTGATAAGGATAAGTCCCCAGAACTGAGAGGTCGGACTTAAGAGAGTCTCGGAGGGGGGGTGATAAAAACAAGAACACATATTCAGTGCTTGACGAAGCCTGCATGTTCACGGTAGGGCGATGACTAAATACAAGCTGAGACAGGAGGGAAGTGGGAAGGAGGGGTATTTGTGTGACACTTGGGAAAGTTAGTAGCTCCGCAAGACCTAGGGTTGTGTTCCTTACAAGTGTTTCTCTGGACTCATATTGTGGCTATAAATCCCATGTGTGTTAATAATAAAACACAAGGGCCCACCAAGCAACTGGCATTAGGCTGAGAGAGCTTCACAAAGTGGAGTGGAAAACTTTGTTTCACTCAGTTCAATGGCGGAAAAGTTCTATTAGCATTTTCCCTCAGTCTAGTCCCCTGTTTAGAATGCCAAATGGTTCGGTGTCTCTAGGTTTCTATTTCTGCTTGTCTATATCCGGAAAGAGTCTACGCTTGTGCACTTGACGGTAGTGAAGTCATCTGCTGTGAACTTTCAAGAGTCTGAACATAACTTAGAGACTCTGCTCACTTCAGCTGCTGAACAACGGCTTTGGAGGTGGTGGCAAACCACGAGCCATTAGCTCCGATCTCATCTGTTTCGGTGTTGATGGCACATGTTAGCTGGCTAAAGAGAAATGATTCTGTTTCCTTGACTAAAAACATAGGAAGGAAGCCTTGCTAAGAGGCAGAATACTGACTCTTTACTGTGACGCTGGAACCGTCTGAGGCAAAACGGGAATGTTTTGGGCCCTCGTAAACTGATAGCCTTGCTGAGGTGTAGGCTGATGGTCACATTTCATTGGCCCAGGACTGTCAACTGTCACAAGCCTATACCAAGCCCCACTTTGATTGAGCCCATTGAAGACTTTAGGCTCTAGAGCCAGGCTGCCTGAGCTCAGCTCCTAACTCCTTCAGGGACTGACTGTGAGTCCTTGATCAAATTGCTTAACCTCTCTGTGCTTCAATTTCCTTAACCTTCCACATAGTAGCAGTCACAGTAGCCCAATAATAGTGTCTGGAGCATCGGATGAGACCCCTCCTTCTCTCTGCCTCCCTCCCTCCTTCCCTCTCTCTCTTTATCCCTCCCTTTCTTTCTCTCTCCCTCCCTCCTTCCTTCCTTCTTGGAAAGAATCTCACCCAGTATCTCAGATTGACCTGGAATTCTCAATTGTCTTGCCTCTGCCTGGTTTTAGTGCGTCCTCTCTCTCTCTCTCTCTCTCTCTCTCTCTCTCTCTCCTTTCCTTTCCTTTCCTAAATGAATACCATGTACTCATCTGCATATATGTTAATTTATAGTATGTGATCATCTACATGTATATTAAATTTCTAGCATGTACTCTATATGTATATTAAATTTTCTGTGCCATTTGAAAGTCATTTGAAGTTGTTATAGATTTTACCCTCAATATTTCTGTAGAGTGGGGAAAATATCAAATTCTTTCAATTCTGGGTATTGAGTCTAGGGGCTTTGTGTGTATTAGCAAGCATTCTGTCACTGAGTTATACCCTAGCCCACTGCTTCCTTTAGGTTTAAAGGCAGGGTCTCCGCAAATCGTCCAGGCTGCTCTTGAATCCCTCTGTAGCTCCAGCTGACCTTGAATTCAAGATCTTCCTCCTTCATACCCAGAGTAGCTGGGATTACAGGCTCTTTACTGTTTGTCTCTAATTTCACCTGGCCTAACACTATCCTCTATGGCATACTTTTTCATTTGGTGCCAGATCCAATCTGAGGTCAAGCGCTGGCTTAGTTTCAGGCCTATCAACTCCTCTGAGCACATCCTTTTCCTTCCCTTTCGCTCCTTTTACCACAGGTTTTGTGCCTAACGTTTCCACTTGATGAGATTCAAAATCTACACGGGTAGGAAGCTACAGAGAGTAAGCTGTGTCCGTCTCAGAGTGGCGTCACACCTGGAGGCGCACATTGCTGACCTTCTCCTTGATGGCATTTATGTTGATTGATAGGTCAGTGTGTTTTATTTCTCCACTAAGTACTTATTAATTTTTCCCACATGACTTAGCAACTTAGGAAGATACACAAACACCCTGCTCCTCTCAATCTAGCATTCACTGGTGACTTTGCTCTCCTCTCTCAGTGTTGGGGGTCGCAGCTAAGGTTTGGCATGTGCCAGGCAATTGGTCTATCACGGAGTCACAGCCACAGACTATTCTGTTTTTTTAACTTTTCATTTTGAGGCAGGGTCTCACTAAGTTGCTCGGGCTAATAAGACTCACTCTGTAGCTCAGGTAGCTCTTAGACTTTGAATCCTCTTCCTCGGCCTCCTGAGTAGCTGAGAGGACAGGCCGTGCCACCAGACCTGGACCTATAGACGAGTCTTAACCTGAGCTAGTGTTAGCTGTGACCTTTGCAAAGGATTTTCCAACTCCAGCAGTTCCTGTGTTCACCAGTCAGCTCTTGGTCTGCTACAGGGGAGATCCATTCATTTTAGCAAATGTATTTGCTGGGAATGCCTTTCTCTGATGGACAGCTGTTGTTCTAGATTTGTTGAATTCACTGGATATATATTTGTGGTTTCTATTTCTTCCTAAATTTCCATTTTTTTCAAATGACTTATAATGCATAAATTCTTGATTATTTTGGTGCTTAAATCCACCCAGTATTGGTTGGCGGTGGACCTGTATTTATTTAGGTTTTCAGTTGTGCTGCCGCTTCCCTAGTGTGTACAGTCCAAGAGCTGTACACACTAGGGAAACACTTAGCATGAAGTCCCATTCCCGGCCCTCGGTTTTCTGAGAAAGGGTCTCCATGCTGTAGCTAAGGCTGGCCTTGAACTCTCTGTGTAGCTAGTGTAGACTCTACACTTCCCAGTCTCCTCCTCTCCTTCCTGAGTGTTGGGGTGCTAGGCAAGCTCCCAGGCAGGGCGTGGGAGGCAGGAGGCAGTGTCTCGACCCAAAGGTTTTCTGAGAGTATAGAAGAGAGTTGTTTACGGTTTTGGCTACAGAGATTGCTGTGTCAAGAGCTCTTCTCACAGCTGGTGTGCGCCTTGCCTTGTGTGCGCATAGCTCCTTCTGCCTTTCTATTTTCTTTCTTTCCATGCTTAAATCATTTGTTTATTGTAAGCTTCCTGCCATCCTTTTGTAGTTGTTTCTCAGAAACCATAACAAAAACAGAATCCTCAAAGCTCAGTCCAGCTGAGAGCGGCAAAGAGTGTTATAACATTTTATTTATTTGCTTATGTTTTTAACCAGGGGCTTCAAATTCTTCAATAGGGGAATGTCTTTGATCAAACTGCAACATAGTTACCTCTTTCTTTTCTATTGAAGGAACGTGTTCCTGGGAAATTGGTGCACCTGGTAATATGTACCAAGGCACATCACTCCTTCTATGGACTGTACCTTGAGGTTTATTTAGGCCTTAAACTTATCCTCTACAGAAGGCTTAAGTCTGTTTCTGGACTCTATGCTGGGAAAAGATGATGATTTCCTACAGTCTGTGCGATTTTCAGCGAATATTCTCAGGCATAAAAACAATCTAGTTGCTTTATTGTTATGGCTTCATAGTGAAAACTCTACCAGCATGCTATGTGGAACATCGACATCAGATCTGCCAGTGAGCCCGTTATTATCTCATTTCACAGACAAAAAAAACCCAAAACAACAACAACAACAAAAACAACAAAACAACAACAACAAAAAAAAACCTTAAGTACGGGTACAAGAGGACAGGCAGCTTGCCCAAGAGCTCAGTTAGTGGCCAGTCAATGTGTTCCCAAGCCCGTGCTCTAAGCATCATGCGGAGAGACCAAGGAGATGAAGACACCATGGACCTACCTGACATGATGAAATAACACAGCGAGCAGGTATCCCAAGTAGAAACCCAAGAAGATGAAAACACTGAAGAGACTGGATTTCACATACACAGATCCTAGGGAGAAGGAAACAGCTTCAGCCAGCTTGCTCGTGGGAATAGGACTATATTGGGAACAGCACAGCTTATAGAATCAGCCACCATCACATACATTCTTAAGTCCCAACAGATTTTCACTGAAGCAGCAAAAGTATCGGAGGTCACCCCATGGTATCCACAAGCAGCTTCATAGTGATGGCTGTCCTTGGAAGCAGGGGTGGGGTGGGGTGGGATAGGAGTGGGGGTGAGGGGAGAGAGTATACAACTCTAGAATTGAGTTTCCTCTTTCCTCTCCTTTTTCCCTCATTTCCTTTATTTCCCCTTCTCTCCCTCTTCTTTCCCTTCCCCCTTCCCTCTCTCTATCACACCCTCATCACCCCCACTCTTTCTATGCCGGAGGGCCTCATACAAGTTAGGCAAGCTCTCTGCCGCCAGGCCACACCCCTAGCCTGCCTCTTCCTCTTCAGAAAGATCTACTTTTATCTCTAAGTTAAATAGGCTTTAGTATTCTTAGGATGGCTCCGCTCAAGTGGAAGATTAATATCTAGTTACATGATAGATCTCCTAACACAAGAATCTCTCCACCATACCCCAGAGCCAAACCAACCTTTGATAGATGGGACAATGGTCACTTTCAGGTTCTTTGATCGTTGTAGATTCCAGGTCTGATTTTCATTTTCTGGTAAAAACAACAACAACAACAAAAACCCAGATAAACAAACAACAACAACACAAAAACAAGGCCGCAACAAGGCACAAAGCACAGCAGATCGGATATTAGTCTCTCACCTTCCACCCAGAATGGTTGTGATAAACAACATTCAGAATCTGCTCTGACCGCTGAACAAGAACTGAGCAAAAGCCAACATCTGACACCTCCGGGCTCCCTCGGGCTAAAACTCTCAGATTGGCCCTTGCTTGGGTACATTTTAGGAGCACCCACTGACACAAACGAAAGGCCACAGCAGCCTTCCTTCTCCATTGGAAAAGACGTGACCTTTCTCCTGATGTCCACAGACATGTCAAGAAAAATGTGCCCCGAACAGCTATATCCCCTTTAGCTTTCATTTTTCCTAGCCAGTGAAAATCTGTTGTTTTTTTTTTTAAACATAGTCATCAAAGGCCCTAGAGGTTATCAAGGAACATTAGACACTGGCAAGCCTATAGAACTACACAATTAAGAGAAAAGCACACCACGAGGGGTGCACCCACACACTGAGACAATGGGGATGTTCTATCGGGAACTCACCAAGGCCAGCTGGCCTGGGTCTGGAAAAGCCTGGGATAAAACCGGACTCACTGAACATAGCGGACAATGAGGACTACTGAGAACTCAAGAACAATGGCAATGGGTTTCTGATCCTACTGCACGTACTGGCTTTGTGGGAGCCTAGGCAGTTTGGATGGTCATCTTACTAGACCTGGATGGAGGTGGGAGTTCCTTGGACTTCCCACAGGACAGGGAACCCTGATTGCTTTTCGGTCTGAGGGGGGGGGGGGACTCAATTGGGGGAGGGGGAGGGAAATGGGAGGCGGTGGTGGGGAAGAGACAGAAATCTTTAATAAATAAATAAATTTAAAAAAATTAAAAAAAAAAAAGAAAAGCACACACAAGCAGAAATGCCACCTGACACCAAGGGAGCCTCTGTGTTGGTGACATATGGCCCATTGGCAGAGGGTCTGTGTTCTCCATTAATGGTCTATTCTCTCTGGGCAACACAGCTATTTGCGTATACACTGGAGCTTATGTAACCCCCCAGTTACAGGGTAAGTCATCACATTGGCTATCTTTCTGTCTTGTTAGGTACAATTTTGGCAACTGGGATGGCAAAGTCTAGACTTTCCTTGTATATTCTTGTGGAAGGGCTGACTGCTGATCCATATGAGTGTTTCTACGTTAGGAAATGGGATTTTAATAATGTTTCTATTGCATTCATTCTCTTTCTCGTGTGTGTGTGTGTGTGTGTGTGTGTGTGTGTGTGTGTGTGTGAGAGAGAGAGAGAGAGAGAGAGAGAGAGAGAGAACTTGCTGGAGCTGATTCTATCCTTCCATCCTAGAGTATCCAGGGATGGATGGAGGATGGAACTCCAGTCAGTTATCTTGGCTGTAGCCATCTCAGCAGCCCAGGAAACAGACCCCTTTGCATTTACATCACAAAAGCGAATGAAATGCCAACTAAGAGAACTCACTCTATATGGCCTGGTATAAGATTTCTAAATAGCCAAATAGCTGCACAGAATCAAACCAATCAGTGTTCCAGCATTGGGGGGCGAGAAACCCAGGAGCTTCCACCCCTAACCGAGGACTATCAACAGTTGACGACTTTTATAGGAGGGAAAGACAGTTTTCTTTAAAAGTGTGGCCCCTGATAGATCGGCCATACTCCAGAGGATGACCCTACACCCCGGAATATACAGTCGTTAGAAATGGAATCTCTGTGCTATGTAAGAAGTAAATAATACAGATGACGTGCAGTTGGGAGGAAGTGGAGAGGTGGTGGGTGAACTGGAAAAGAGGGATAGAAGTAGGGATTGAACATGATTAAACACATTGTATAAGATGCTCAAAGAATTAAAAATATTATATCAGAATGCTGAAGGTACAAAATGACATTTTGTAGTACCAATACTACCTTTAGGTATAGAATTATCTTCATTTTATTTTTTTATCCAAATGTCTCTCAAGTGCCTTGTCACGTTGCAGCTGCTACATCCCCAGGAAAACTAGAGAGGGGCTTTTGGTGTCCTTTCCTTCATTCCCAAGTATCCCTTGGCGCGTCTTACCCTGGATGGAGAATGATCCCCCACACGCGTAATCTTCAGGTTTTATCACAAACACCACGAAGAACTGCTCATCTGGAAAATCCTTCTTCTGTGTAAGACATAACAACCTCATGATTCGCAGGGAAGAAAGACAGCCAGGAGGAGAGGGGCAGTAAAAGAAAGGAAGAAAAGGAAAGTTCACCCCTGTCTTCCTACTCCCCTGTCCAGTGGGGTTTCCACAGTCCTGCTGTCTATTCCAGACTGGCCATGAACATTACTTCAGCCAAGAAATTAGTATAGGTGAGTACATGGAGAAATTCAAAGTCTATGCCCACTTGAAGATTTAGTACTATAAGAAACATAATAAACAATAGCCTAGATTATCAAAGAATATTTATATAAAGACATGTACATATAAGCACATATATTGGAGATAGTCTTGTTTTGTAACCCAGGTTGGCCTTGAACTCTTGATCCTCCTGCCTCAGCATCTTGAATGCTGGCATTACAGGCACAAACATAGGGGTTTATTGGTTTTACTTTAAAATCTAATAAGAAATAACTTCTCTAAAATCATGTCATAAATATTTAATAAATAATGCAGGTTAGGGAGATGAAGGACTTGGGTAGGGGGGACTGTGCTATGGCTTTGACTTCTGTCTGTGTCCCTCTCTAGTCCTGGTTCAAGTGGGGTTAACAAAAATAACAATACATTACAGTTTCTTAACCCAGGCATTTTTGTCATGCTCGAATTTCCGAGATTGTGTTTAGGTCACAGAGAAAATGTCTAAAGCTCAAGCATATGCCCAGAAGAGAAGTAGAAATTTATTGCCAGATACACAGAAGGTAGACATGGTGGGTATGGCTATGCCCCTCATTAGCCTGGTATAATAGTTCCTTGTCAGCTTGACACAAACTAGGTTCATCTAGGGAGAGAGACTCTCAACTGAGAAAATGCCTTCCTGGGATCAGCCTGTAGGTGTCTGTGGGGCATTTTCTTGATTAATGATTGATGTGGGAGGGCCTAGCCCACTGTGGAGAGTGCCCTGGGCAGGGGATTCTGGGTGTATTAAAAGCAAGCTGGATGAGCCACGGAAAGCTATCCAGCTATCCAGTAAGTAGAGTTCCTCCAGGGCCTCTGGTTCAGTTCCCGCCTCCAGGGTCTTGCTTGGAGTTCCTACCCTTGCTCTCCTCCACGATGAGCTGTGGTGTGGAGGTATGAGCTAAAAAACCCTTTCTCCCTCATTGCATTTGACTATGATGTGTTACACAGCACTAGAAAGCAAATTAAAATGCCCGCTGTTACTATTTTTGCATGTGTGTGTCCTTTTTAAATTGGGGATCATATCAATAAGGTATGCTATGGAAGAAATAAGTACAGACAGCAGGACATTTGGGCTATCAAATCTGTGATGCTCAAAACCTGAAGTTTGACTGACAGAAACTTGTCAGGTCTGATACCTAAATTACACTTAGCTTCTCTGCTGTTTTTGTCTCTTTACTCAACAAGCAATGTTGTCTTATGCTACTCAAACCGAGTCACAGATTTCTTAAGTACTAACCAGAGACTGGGGTAGAGCGTCTCTTGGAATAGGACGACATATTTCTTTGCTATAAAATACCACTGAAGTCACAGTTTAGTCAGAAATACCAAAAGGGCAAAGTGTTGCACGAAAAAGACTCGTGTGCCTTTGAATCTGGTATTCTCTCCAGAGCTGAATCCAACTTTTGGTGATGGCTACTGGTAGGAATTATAATATGTTAAATTTCTTTAAATGACTATAATACGCTTTACCCTAAATAAACTGGAACCTCATCTGGACTTATCCCTGTAAGCGATCTGTCAGATATATGTCCGATTGCATTGTAGATTCCCAAGAACCCCCAAGGGGAAAGAAAGAAGGCCTGAAAGAATAGCATTGCCTACCATGACCCAGGCACCAACTGCAGGCAGAACGCTATTCGCTTTTAAAATCAATCAGAAAGAAAAGAGATCTAAGGTACCCGGTGGACAGTCATCTCCTTTGGATGCTGGTCCGGTAGGTAAGTGACTATCGGGTGAGCCCCACTGCTTTTGTGACTTCAGAGGCAATGTCTCACCTGTAGCGTGATGGCAGCTTTCTTGGTCATGGACTGATAGACGCCATTGAATTCCACGTCATAGTCCAGATCGTACACTGGACACTGAAGCACATGAGAGACAAAGAGGAGAGCATCAGCACTGTGGCATGAGGTCACTCTGTACACATGTGTCAGGGCTGGGCTACCTGGACCACAGGCGGCGGGGGGGGGGGGGTCTTCTAATCTCGATGCCATGGGAGGTTTCCTCAGAACAGTCAAGAAATGGTCCTCTTACAATTTGGTTTTTCACCTAAGATGTCAGAATCACTCTATACAGAAGAGAACTATAAAAAGACTGTCTTAAAGTATGTAACATTTCCTAATTTTTTGTTGCTATCTTGTGATACAGAAAGCATCTGATGTTGTGACAGCAATCTAAAAACAGAGCAGGAAGTATAGCTTTTATTATACTTTTCTCACTAAACTTACAGCTGGGTGTTCTTCGTTCTTTGTCCTGACCTAGTCCCCATCCCACACCTCTTCTTTGTACCGATGAGATACGTCTTGTTTCCTATCAATGTCAGCGAACATGCACCGCCCAGTCAGGTGCACGAGATGTTGCTATCATCTGGCATCTGGGAGTGATGAACTGGAGAGGATGGCGCAGCCCCTCCCCCATCTATTCTGGAACATTAGGATCTTACGTGCTAGAAGGCTGACAGGATCAGAGCTCACCATGATGTTCTGAACCGAGACAACTGAACAGGGATAAGCCTTCTCAGACGCCACCTTAATGATAACGGAGTCCACATCTTCAGGAAATTCGTATAGAAAATACTGAGGATGAGAAAAAGGGAGACGTGACTTATTAACCTCAGGAAATGTCTGTAGAAACACAAGCCATGCGTGGGATTGCTTTCTCTACCATGATGTTTGGATTCCAGAGGCAAAGCTCGGGGTATGGCTACCGTCTTCCATTCACCTCATGGTAAGCAGCAAACTTCTGCCCAGGGCTCGGTGCCCCACCTGGGGAAGGCGGCAGCGATGGTGAGTGGCCATTGACACAAGGCTGCCTTTTCATTTTAGGATGCAGACATTTCTTATCAACTCCCTTAGCCTGGGCTTCATTCCTTTTCCTACTTAGGCACTCCACTCTCAGCCTCTTCTAAAAGCAGATGTACGCAGGATGTCACGTCAGACACAGCTTTTGTCTGTGACGTATGAAGCTCCATCTTGAATAGTAGTAGATCCTTCTGTTCCTCAAAACCATCTTGTCGGAGGGAAGAATTAGCTTTCCACCCACCTTTCTTCTAAACCTTTTGGCAAAGAATCTTTTCCCTAACTGAGATATTCTGGGAAACTATTTAGCTGAAAAGACGAAGTTTGATGTTGAGCTGATGGAGGAAGGTCATTGGTTAAAAAAATAAAGAAACTGCTTGGCTGGCCCTCATAGGTTAGAACATAGGTGGGTGGAGTAAGCAGAACAGAATGCTGGGAGGAAGAGGAAGTGAGCTCAGACTCGACAGCTCTCCTCTCGGGAGCAGACGCCTCAGAAGAGACGCCATGCTCCTGGCTCCTGGGCAGACAGACACACGTGATGAAGCTCTGACCCAGGATGGACGTAGGCTAGAATCTTCCTGGTAAGTGCACGTAGCTGTGCTACATAGAATATTAGAAATGGGCTAGTCCAGGTGCGAGAGTTAGCCTAGAAGAGGCTAGATAGAAATGGGCCAAGCAGTGTTTAAATGAATACAGTTTGTGTGTTGTTATTTCGGGCATAAGCTTGCAGGTGGCCAGGGTGCTGGGGGACGCAGCCCCGCCGCTCATATTACTACATTGAGCCTTGAAATATGTTTGTGATTTGGGGTAAATTTATTTTTCAAGTATCGGTAAACTCGTGTGTGTGTGTGTGTGTGTGTGTGAGAGAGAGAGAGGGGGGGGGCGTGGGTGACTGCATAGGCCAGAAGAGGGTATCCGCTAAGACCAGAAGAAGGTAAGACAGGCATTTGTGAGCTGGCCAAGATGGGCGCTGGCAACTCCACTCCAGTCTTCTGCAGGAACCATGTGTGCTCTTGACCTCTGAGTCATCTTTCCTAAACCACAGGCAACATTGCTAACGTGAAGAGGTGACACTATTTACCTACCTCAGTTGTGAATCCATTGGGGAAACATACTGACTCTTAAAACATTTAAACACATTTAAAAAGGGGGGGGGGGAGGAGAATTTCGCCCAATAATATCAGGTGTGGCAACTGTATGAAAAACATCAAGTTTGTGGTTAAGGTTGGAGACCCACCCTGAGGAGACTGATATTTTGTAGACCTAGTAAGCACATTATTTTAGAAAAGAGGTAAAAAAGTCAAAATTTAATTTTGCATTCCAGTATTCCTTATACTAATGCTCTCTTGAGAACTAATTCAGTATAGGTAGAATGTTAGAATTAAGGAACACCACTCACATTCCTATTTAGAAATCTTTTCATGCCTTGTATGACTGCATTTTGGAGCATGATTCAAATCCACATGAAACAGGGTTATTCCAAAGGAGGAACCTAGAGGTCTCAGGGTGGTTTTCAGGATAGTCATACTTTATAATTCAAGAGCACTACTGTTAGCATTGAATAAACACTACGACTTTGAACACTTACCAACATGTCAAACTATTATCAACTTTATTTATCTCTAAATCACTACAACCCCAAAGGAATGTTTTAGACCCCTTCCTTAAAATATTCTTTATTTAGAAAGAAATATCATTTCATTTATTTATTTATTTTGGTTTTTCAAGACAGGGTTTCACTGTAACTTTGGAGCCTGTCCTTGAACTAGCTCTTGTAGACTAGGCTGGCCTCAAACTCAGAGATCCACCTGGCTTTGCCTCCCAAGAGCTGGGGTTAAAGCCATGAGCCACCACCGCCTGGTGAAAGTATCTATTCTTCTTTTAGGTATATGTTTTGCCTGCATCTGTGTCTGTGTACTAAAAGACACAGTACCCCAGAAGAAGGTATTGCATGCCCTAGAATTAAAGTCAGATATAGGTATGGGCCACCATGTGGGCACTAGGAAGCAAATTCATGTCCTCTACAAGAGCAGCAGGTTTTCTTAGTTACTGAATCACCTACTTAGCCCCTCTAAATACCATCTGAATTTAAATGGTCCATAACTATGAAGAAGAACAAACTGTGCCCTGCAGCCTTTCTGGCCATTGGGCATCAAAGTATAGGATGGCTTTCACAGAAAGAAAATTTAAATCGTCGCTTTAAAGGCCAGAGGTGGGACTCAGCTGGTAAAGTACTTGCTCAGCATGTACAAGATCCAGAGTTCAAGCCCCAGCATCACAGAACAGAAGTAGGAGTTCATTTCTATGGGTTTTAGAGCACTACTTGGTACATCTGTTCCCATCATGACCGAGGACATCAGGTCAGCCGTTTGAAATCAGCCATAGTGCAGGAGTTTTTACCACAGGAAGAGGAAAAGGTGCAAATCTAGTTTTGCCCTACCCCCGAGGAGCTGTTAGATATTTATAAGCACATCGGTGATTGTAATAGAGTTACAGAGGCCCATACTGTTTAATCACCAGTTTACTATATGCAGAACAAAAGCCAAGTAACCATTTGTGAGCAAAATCTTACTAAAGCCATCAAAAAACATAGGCTATGTATTGCGGCATATAGATGCGTCTTGTCTTTCTGTTTTGAGACAGTGACTTGGTATGTAGCTGAAGCTGGCTTGGAACGTGCATGTAGCTCAGACTGGCCTCTTGCTCACACTTCTCATGTCTTGGTTTGGTGTTTAGAGTGGTCGGGTGAAGGTGTGAACCACTACATAGGGTCAAGAACCTATTTTGAACTTGTTACAGCATAGAGTCTTTCAGAAACCATATAAAGAGGGGGAAAAGGTAGTTAGAAATGTCATCAGGAAAACAACTTAAAAAAATAGTTTCGTGTGTCTATTCTGCTTGTGGTTATTTTTTTATTGAGGAACACATAAAACTAGCTAATTATTTTACTGACAGGGAACACAAATTCAATCTGTCAATATTATGGCAGGAATGGAAATCAGTCTTATTTTTGTATTTTCAGAACAGCCATTTGCATATCTGTCTGCTGTCAGCCTTCCCCACTCAGTCTCCCTGCCCTCTCTCAATCACCCAGACGTCTATCATCACAGAGTCTGTGATTATCACCTCCTCTTTCCCATAGCACCCAGTCCCATCTAACATCCCTCAGGACATATCAGATGCATGACTTTACTCCATGAAGCATGTCCCACGGAACACTGGAAATAGATATCATGCTTCCTATTTTATCCCAATAAAGGTGGTAATATTAAATGTGCCCAAGACTTAAGTAACAACCAAGAATACATAGAGTAAGGTCAAGGGCGTTAATCCACGCCAACTTTACTCTCTCTGCTCCAAGGTGTCTGTGTGCAGCACCAGCAGCTGGGCTCTGGATAACCGCTGGACATTTTCGCTTACCTGAGGTTGAGAGGGGCTGGCAGTGAAGTGGAAGGCGACATTTGTCCTGAGAAACGTAAGGGGGAAAAGTGAGAGAGAAAAAATGAGTTGGCAAGAAGAACTAGTTACTTAAAGGAGGGCCATGTTTTGAAGGACATTTGGTCCTGTGATCAGATAAACTTCAAGGAGACTTTCTGTTTTCAACAATAAAGAACGATGAAGTTGGGGAAGAAGACTGCTTTCCCATCGGTAAACATCCATGAGGTCGTACCTATATAAACACCTCATTTAGTTTTCTGGTTGCTTTTCTCTTTGGACTCTCTTAAGATATTCCAATCAAGTAATATAATCAATCAGGCTGGATCACGAGAAGCAGATAGCAAGGGAGGAAATGCAAGCTTAGGTCCTTTTGAATAATGTAGGTATCCCTTCATGATAATGTTAATGGAGAACTGTGCTTTAAAAACGGGGCGGGGGAACAGATGGCCACTGTGGGACAATCAGTAGGGGTCGGAATACATTCTTTTTGCCCCAAACATCTTCCTGGTCTCCTGCAATACTTGCTGAAGTCTCCAAAATTTCACCCTCTTTTGGCTTTAGGCTTTGTCTTCTATGCCCATCCTTAACCCAGTGAAGCTATTCGATCTCGAAATAGAAATTGACTGTGAATTAGTCTCTCGTGTACAGAGAGAGAGAGCCAGGACCCAGGCACAAAGGAAGGAGAGAGCTAGAATTCCAGTAAGAAGGAAGTTCTGAGCATCAGGTGCTGTCTGGTGTGAACATCTATGAAGTGGGTCAACAGGCTGGAAAACACAAACATGAGTGGGTTCTCCAGTGGAGCTGCTCCTTTGCACCTCATTATTAGTATTGTAGACACTTGCTCAAGATCACCACACTTGAATCCCCAAGACTGACAAACTGGTCACTCTCCCAGTGTCCATTCCTCCTGGCATTGCTAAGTCTGAACCTGAACTTCGGGGTTCCTTCACTATCTTCATTCCCTAGAGCTCTCTGAAGACTTTCTTCCCACTCCCAATTTTCCTTTTTATAAAAATTAAATGACTTTTTATTGAAAATATTTTACTTTTCACTTTTATATACCAATCCCAGTTCCCTCTTTCTCCCCTTCTCCTGTCCCCCACCTCTCCCTTCCCATCTCCCCATCGACTCCTCACAGGAGATAAGGCCTTCCTTGGGGAGTCAACAAGGTCTGGTATACCAACTTGAGGCAGAATCAAGCCCTCCCCCTCCCCGCCCCCTTATCAAGGTTGAGCAAGGGATCCCACCATAGGGAATGGGCTCCAAAAAGCCAGTTCATGCACCCAGGATAGGTCCTGGTGCAATTGCCAGAGCTCCTTCCCAACAGATCAAGTCACATAACTGTCACCCACATTCAGAGGGTCTAGTTTGGTCCCATGCAGGTTGAAAACAAAACAACAAAACAAAAACAAAAACCCTCATTCCGTATGCTATGAAATGCAAACCTAAATAAAGATTTAAATTTACACTGGGAAAAATTAAATAGTTTAAAACTTAACCATTTCTCTAGAAATGGCAGTCAAGACACGTATGCAAGGTGCCCATAATAAGAGGCATTCCTTAGAAGTCATAAAATTTGAGTACTGTTTATAAAGATAATGGCTGTCATTGGTCTGGCCTCTGAACTGAGCCAATTGGAATACTAATTCAACATAGACTTTCTATGGGTTTTAGGTTTTGTTTGTTTTGGTTCCTTAAGTTTTATTGTCTTTAAGACAGTAACATTTAAGCCTTCTGGGTTATGTGGCGTTAACAGTAGCTACAAAATAAACAGTGTGTGGTTGGGGATGGAACAGTATCGGCTGTCATGGCCCTGATGGAGGCCAGCAAGCTGTGGTTTATCAAAGGCCTTCCCCACTCAACAGCACAAAGCTAACTGAAATCCACTGCACCTTTAATGGTACAGCAAGAAGCAGCCAAGTTTCAATGCGTTTGTTTCGAAACTGAAACACAGGAAGCAAATGCTTAAGGCAAGAGACTAAAACCTAGCTTTGTTCCCCTGCTTTAGCTGTTAAAGGAAGCCGGGGAAGGGGAAAGAAAGACACATGAGAGTCAACTGAGGAGATTTAGAGATGGACGACGGGGAAAGTAGAAGCAGAAGGGTGCTTGAGGGATGGAAAAAGAAACAATAAAGACTTACAGAAGAGTAATAAAGAAGGAAGGAAAGATGAGAGGATGGCGAGCAGAGACAAAGGTTCGTAGTTTTGAGTGAGGGGCCATAGTAGTCACAGGACCCTACACGGCTCCTATGGTGAGCTCTTGTCAGGGACAGTGGCTCTTCCACACCCACTTCGTTTGCAGAAGGAAATGTGGTTGTATTATTACTCGGCACTGTGGACTCCCCATTCCCTGTGGTCTGCTGCTTGCCCACTGCCGACTGTTGTGAGCTCCCTTCCGACCACCCCACAGTCCTTCCTCCAGCCCTCCTGCTATCTCTCACCCTCCAGACTTCATCCTCCTGGTGTGTGCAGTCTCCCCCCACATACCTGCACCCTGCTCTTTCTTCCTTTTTCTGGGACTTTGCGTCTACAAATATCAACTCTCTAATGAATCGACTTTACCTTCCTGCACCTTCACTTAATAGTTTCCTGTCTTCATCAGTTCCAAATAACTGACAGACTAGTCAAACCAAGTTCTTCCTCTGCTCTCCTCACTCTCTCTCTCCCTCCTTCCCTCCCTCCCTCCTTCCCTCCCTCCCTCCTTTCCTCCCTTCTCTCTCTCTCTCTCTCTCTCTCTCTCTCTCTGTGTGTGTGTGTGTACATGTCCTGTGTATCCCCACACATGGGAGACCAGAGGTCAGTCAGTGTTAGTGTGTTTCTCTATTGCATCCACCTCATTTTTCTAACTCTTTTATCCTTTGACAGTTTTGTAGCTGTGAACAATGTGTGTTAAATGCCTGACCCTCACTCTTTCCCTTCAATCCCTGTCTCCTCCCCAATAGATCTCCCTTCCAGTTTTAAGTTTTGTTTTTTTTTTTTAAAACTAGCCCGCCAAGAATACTAAGTAATGCCGGCCAGCACACGGCTGTGGGGATAGCCACTGGGGCGTGGGCAGCCTGCTAGTGGCCACCCCTCAGAGACAAGTGACTTTCCCTTCTGTAACAGCCAACAGCTCCTCAGTTGGGGGTGGAGCTTCAAGCCTCCATGTTGGAAATTTTTAAAGATTAATTTTAATTTATGTGTGTATGTGACTGTGTGGGTTTGCATCATAGGTGTAGGTGCCTCCAGAGGCCTAAAGAGAGTGTCAGAGTCCCTGGAATAGTCACTAAAGTCACAGGTGGTTGTAAGCCACCATGTTGAGTATGGGAATCAAACCTTGCCCCCCCCCCGAAGAGTAGTAAGCACCCTTAGGTGCTTCTGTAGTGTAATTGTGCCCCCTCCTATAATCTTACAGGGAGTGGCACTAATAGGAGGTGTAGTTTTGTTGGAGTGCGTGTTATGGGAATTCATTCAGCCAATAGCCTTTTGGGTACCAGCCCACTAGGGGGTGGTCTGAGGGTCTCCATGTGGACTGATAAGCACAGACAAAAAGCGTGCCAGCTCTCTAGGGTGGTAGTTGGATTTCTGTTCGCAGCTTCCAGCGCCCACAGAGCTGCCTTTACTTCCCAAGTGCTAGAATTACAGGCATATACCACCATGATAGGATAAAGGTTTGATCATACAGACACATCTAGGATGATGATGATATAATAATAATAAAAGAGATGAGATCGCTAAATTCCTCAAGATGCTTCGAAGTCTCTTCACATTGGCACTGGTTGTCGTTCTTTGCTGCTCAGACTCTTTTATCATCCTTTACCACTTCCTGCTGGCTACCCTCATCTTCATCGCCAGTAGGTCCCAGGCCTTAGCAGAGCTGTGTGCAGATGAGCCTCCACCCCGCTCAGAGTCCACTCTCCTTGGGGAAGCTGTTCCTCTGTCCCTCCTCTGACTCACGGCTCTTCATCTCGGCTAGTTTGCCCAGTTCCCTTTCAGCATTCTCGAGAGTTCCAGCAGAGAATTTTCCTTTGTTTTATCTGGGTCAATTCCTTAATAGCCTGCAGGTCATCTTTCAGCTTCCTAGCTAGAGAAGATCCCTGCTGTCCCCTCTTTATTTTGTCCTTTCGCCAGGACTTTGCCGAGACACCTGGGGTTTAGAGAGCACAGCAGCCCGAGCAATGGAGAGAGGAGGAATGCATGCTGGGTAACTGTACCTCCTGTCACTGTAATGGGGAGAGGTGGAGAAGTGCGCTCTGGTACCAAAGCACACATCTCTGCTGAAGAATGCTTCCCTTCTGTTTTACCTCACTTATCTTGAGGCTCTATTGCAGTAGGGAATAGATAAGCAGCCCGGGACTCCACTTGGTCTGGACTATGTCACCCTCTCCTAACAATGCATCCGGTACCCTTTTAGTTTAAGACCCTGTTCCTGCATGGAGTTGGGTGCACACTCTCCTCCAAACAAAAGAGTACGTTCCTCCTCCCCTTAATGATCATCCAGAGTGGATAGTTTCTATTTAATTTTACTCTAGATAACTCTGAGTGTGAACATAGGGGTGTCCAATCAGGCCTGAATTACTTTTGGGCGCATGCACAATAAGGCAAACTGTGCCTTCTGAGTAAAGATTTGGGACGAATCCCCTGTCTACCATCTCAGGTCTTTGCATAGCTGGGCACGGTGTGATTGAGATCTGATGCATCATGAGAAAGGACATGCACGGTGACCAGAGGCTGACATAGTCAGTCGTTTTTGACCTGCCCATTTCCCCTCATCTTCAGATTCATTCAAATTTTGTGTATTTCAGCTCTTTTACACTCTTCAAGACCCCTTCTCCCTTTCACCTTGGCCATCACAGCAGCCTCCTAATGCCTCTGCAGCCAACACTGCCTCCTGCAGTCCGCTTCTCACACAATGAATGGCGCATGTGGACAACTGAGTTCTCAATGTCCTACCATGTCCCTCCTACCCCACGATCCAGTGACCGCCTGTTCCTACAGCATCCCCCTCCCACTGCTTCCTGCCTACAACTGTGACCTCTAGGGACACAGAGTGGTCCATCGCTGGGAGCTGCTGGGAAGATGGTGTTTGTGTGTGTGTGTGTGTGTGTGTGTGTGACAGGAGCGGGAGGAATACTTAGAGGCAGAAGCGTCTTATTTTAAAATCTGGATGTGAATAGATAAGTGCCTTGTGCAATGGAGAAGCATATTTAGGGAGGATGGATTTAAGCAGAAAGAAGAAAGAATGTGTTATGAGGAGAAGAACTTAGAAGAGGAAGCCAGGAGCAGAATTCAGGCTTGATTTTGCTTTTCTGTCTTTGTGAATTTGGACATGGACAGCATCTCTGGACCTCAGAGTTGGGTGCAGTGATGCATACCCCTAGTCACAGCTTCTTAGGAGGCAGAGATATGAGGACGGCTTGAGCCTAAACGTCCAAGGCCAGCCTGGCAGCACAGGCAGACCCTGGTCTCAGCTAAGACCAACAGAAGCCTCTGGACATCAGCGAAATGTGTTCTGTATGATTCTAGGCTGCCATTCCGAACTGTGTGGCAGAAACTGCCATGTCAGAGTTAATTCTCCATAGTTGGAGCCCAGTTCTTACCACAGCCCTCATCTGGACCCCATGACCACCAGCCTCTGGGTTTCTGGGTCCCTGGCCAAGTTAGTGAATCGAGAAGGGAAGAAAACACACATAGCTCAGCCACCGCCTCTTTTCAGGCTAATCTTCACTGCATCCAAGCTCTCCTAACTCTGTGTTTCCTTCTGTCCGCAAGGTCTGTTTGATGACCCAATGTCATATTACCCGAAGTGAAAACAGAAAACAAACGTGGCAGAATAGATTTGCAAGTCATTCATTAACACTTGCACAGAGCTGCGACCCAATGACTTCCATTTCACGGTGTTCTTTCCCTGGGGACCAAATTACCTCACTAAATATCAGCACTGCAATTCACAGAGGTCAAAGCCAGCTGACAGCAACAGATCAAAGGTACCACTGGCAAAGGCAAGTCTTCCCTGAAGGTTCAAGTTGAGCTCTCTGTTGAAGCCCTGCCCAGCTCATCTTTAAAGATGGCTGCTATGCTGAATATCTGCAGGCAAAGCAGCAGAAAGCAAAGAACCATGTGCACTTGCTTACCGGAGCTGGAAGTGTTTGATTTTGGTGACCAGCAGCTGGTAGTGGGCACCGTGGGGAGCCATGGATGCTACATCTACAAAGATCAGTTGCTGCAGAGGGCCCGTCTCATTGGTTGCTTTCGATGGACAAAGAGTGCGACTGACTTCCTGGTAGTTGTAGCTCCGCTGGTATCTGCAGAGGTGGGTGTGGACAGCATCAGCAAGGAGATGCAGTGAACAGGGCCAGGGAGAACGATACCTTACTCCACTCCTCTCTAACCTGGCTTGAAGTCCAATTTCAGGCTAGATCTGTGGACAGCAAACCTAGGGCACCTGTTGTTGGCATCTGTTATCTGACAGGGACATAGGGACTGCTATGTCCTGGCCAGTTTACTTAGAAGTTTTACATCGCATTAAGCCAGACACCCCAAGTTATTCAATGAAAAGCACCAAAATTCACGAGAGGAACTCTCCTTGTTAAACAACCAATAAAGGCTCCTCTCTCTCTCTCTCTCTCTCTCTCTCTCTCCAATTTCACTGATTTCAAGTCAAAACTATCAGAATTAGTACTTAACCCTCAAATTCCTGAACCTTAAAATACCCACATCATAGCACCTCAGTAGGTGCTCACTTCTCTACGCTTTCTGGACTCTGTATAGAGGCAACAATGCCTCCTTGAACTTTTCTTGGCAAATTAGGGACAAAATCATCTCCTCTACGAGGACAGGGACTCCTGTTATTCTTCATGGTGTCTTCCCAAACTTGGCTCTGCCCTGTGGGCACTGCTGTCTGAAGGACACAGGTAAGAGAGGCATTCTGAAGAATGGGTTTGGTGCTGCTCATATATGGACTGCCGGGCCTAACCCACTATGGATATGGAAGGATCCATTTTCCAAATGGGGGGGGGTGGGAGTAGAATGTTATGATATATTTTAAGTAGCATAAATTCTCCCAGGTGCTGAGAATCTAGACGGAATGCTTGATCTGAAATCCAGAGAGAATGGAAATGCATAGCACCGAGCAGTCTGGTGCAGGCATTCATTGCTTGCATTTGGGGTGCACTAATCTGACATTTCCACGTCTGAGTTCTCTTCCGGCTAAGACAAAAGAAAGCAAAGTAATAGTAGTAGTAATAATAATAATAATTAAAACCCCATCTAAGTCTAAGGACATTGAAGAATGACAACTGTAGTGATGCTACTTACAGTCCTTGGAAGAGCAGAGGAACCTGCCAGGACAGCACTGCTTTCTGCTGGCGGACCACGACGAGGACTGGGTAGTCCAGGTTCTCAGAGGAGCTGTTCACATGCACCCGCACCGCTGTCACCTGTGAGGCGGGCGAACGCAAGCTCGTTGATTCCCGACGTTTCTGCTCATGACAGGCGACCCAAACGCCCCAGTTGTCCTCGACTCTTCATAGGCTATCCAGAGAGGGCCTCAACCCCCACCACACATTGAAGTTGCCCTCGGAGATCCTAATAATTGATGCCTGGACACAGTTTGCATAAAACTCTGATTCGATTATGCTCGGATGAGACCAATTATGGGGCCTTCAAATAGTAAGCTGAGGAGCGGGGGCTGAGCAGTCAGCTTAAGGCTCTAAGAATAGCTCCAGGAGGGGATAAAAATCATCTCAATGGACTCTTTTCTTATTTATAAATAAGAAATTTATAAATTTATAAGAAATTTATAAATAAGAAACTATAAATACAAATACAATCAAAATCACAAACATTTCCCAAACTGCCTCACAGTCTCCAAAACTCCCAGCTGATGGCGAACTGGGTATGGTAAATCATTCTGATCATTTTGTTTCCTTTTTTGTTAATAGCCTAAGAGATGGGCTGCTGCTTCCCATCCAACTGCAGCAAGCCCTGTAGGGCTGAGTCCTGCCTGCTCCAGGCTAAGTCTCTAACAAGCCCTTCTACACCAGCAGCATGCCGCTCTGCCTGAGAGCACACAGCACACGGAGCGAGTCTCCATCTTGCTGAAGATGGGAAGCTAAGTCTGATTCTGAGGTTTTGGTGTTTTCCTTAAGACTCTTACAGTACCATATAAAATACAGAAGATGATAAAGAAAAATACAGAAGAGTAAAAGAAAAAAAATAAAACCTGACATTTTTACGTATGAATGTATTATTGCCTTTATGTCCTCTTGAAAGTTTCTTTATCAGGGGGCCAGTCAAATGGCTCGTCAGGTAGTTCAGTGGCTAAGCAACCTCAGGATCCAAGTAAAATCCTGGGTGGACCAAGTTTCCTTTAGGAGATGGAGACAGGAGACCTTGGGGCAAGCTGGCTAGAGAGACTAGCTAAGTCAGTTTTCCATTTGATGCCGCCTCAGTGAATAAACTGGATGAGATATGAAGGCTGTCTCTCATCTACAACCTCCAGGCCTCCAGATACAAACATGTGCACACACACACATACACACAGGGAGAGAGAGACAGACAGACAGAGACAGAGACACAGAGAGAGATAGGGAGAGAGACAGAGAGAGACAGGGAGAGAAAGACAGAGACACAGAGAGAGACAGAAACACACAGAGACAGACAGACAGAGAGACAGAGACTGGAAAAATAAAAAAGCAAGTCCCAAGTTGAATCTTGCAGACCTGCCACATTCCAAGCGCAGGCTGAGAGGAAACAGGCTAGCCTGCGCATTGCATCCAGTGCTTAGTTCCCTGGATTCTCCCCAATCAAGCCACGGCTTCACATTGTTAATGTTAGCACAGGGGAAGAGTAATTTATTAATTTGATAAGAAGTGCTTGTTCCTGAGGGAGCATTTTCTGTGCCTACACTGTTTCCATGGAAATTGGGTTACAGCTGATGCTGTACTTCTAGGGCAGCCCTCTTCTTTGTTAAACTCTGGGACTCCCACAGGCCTCTCAAACGCCACATGGCTGCATGGAATCTCCCACTCCTTTCACTCCTAATTTTATTTTATTTACTTATTTTAATGAATGGCTCCATCATGCAGCTATTCATCTAAGCTTGAAACCCGAGAGTCCTGCTTGGTCCCTACTTCTGCCACTTCTAACTCCTTCATTCGGTTCTTCTCCAGGCCTCCCTCCCTGCCGATGCTAAGCTCAGCCCTCAAGGCCCTCTCGACAGCCTCCTATTGATTCCTTCAGTGCTGTATTCCTTACGTTGTCAGTGTCATCTGTCATTCTCCATGTCAAAGACCTTCAATGGCTCTGAAAAATTTTCAGTCTTATGCCAAAGTAACAATGGTGTAGGAGGTCCTTCTGTCTTTGTGTTGCTTTCATTGGTTAATAAAGAAACTGCTTTGGGCCTTTTGATAGGGCAGAATTTAGGTAGGCAGGAAAGACAGACTGAATGCTGGGAGAAAAAGGGGCAGAGAGAGAGCTGCCATAGAACCGCCAGAGTCAGACATGCTGAATCTTTCCCAGTAAGCCACTGCCACATGGCGATATACAGATTACTAGAAATGGGTTAAATTAAGATGTAAGAATTAGCCAATAAGAAACTAATGAGAGCTAATGGGCCAAGCAGTGTTTTAATGAATACAATTTCTGTGTTGTTATTTTGGGGCTAAGCTAGCTGGGTGGCCTGGACGAACAAGCAGTCCCTCCTTCTAATATAACAAGGAAACTATAATAAATAGTTATGAATCATTCAGCTTTGATAACTACTGACAAATGTATTTTATTTTATTCATGCTTTCTATTTCCACACATTCCTTCACTGTATTCTGAAACACACACACACACACACACACACGCATTACTTAATCATCAAATAGCTTAAGGAATATCTCTAAGAGATTAGAGCCTCCTTAACGGAATCCATAAACAGGGCTAGAGATATGCTCAGCAGTTAAGAGCACTTGATGCTCTTGTAGAGGACCCAGGTTTGGTTCCCAGCATCCATATGGCAGCTCTCAACTGTCTGTAACTTTACTGGGGATCTAATGCCCTCTTCTGGCTTCCAAGGGCACCAGGCATGCACATGGTACACATACATATAGAGAAACATATAAACACATTTAAAAATTAATAAATCTTTAAAAAATGTAAGCAGTATGACCTCACTAACTACCATTTTAACTCTTTTAATTTATCTGATATTTATGTGGTGTTTGTAGCTTTTCAATTGTTTTAGAAATTGAATTTTCACACTTCATTGTAAGGCAGCAATTCTAGCCTCCTCTCATCTGAGGGAGGTTTCTGATCCAGCTGATCAAGAACAAGTCTAAGACCATACATTTCTAGCAAATACTGGTGGGCGGCTGAAGTATGTGGCCTGGGGCCTACCCTTTGGAGGTATACATTCCAAAGCCATCTACTGATCTACCGCATGAGCCTATGTGTCATGGTGAGATCCCCGACAATGAGCTCAGCATTGCTACAGCAGCCTGGACGCTGTTGTTGGGACTAAGTGTCCAGCACAACAGATGCATCATGGCTGTATTATGCCCCTCAGCGCTCAACCATCTCCAAGTCCTGATCTTCCTGGTCTAGCTTTCGTAATCCACTTACTTTTCTCCATTATTTAATAATGGCCTTACCAGCCGTGATAAAAACAAACTCAGAGATACTGACATAATAAATTGCACAAAAGATAACAGAGTGGGAGTTGCGCGACACTGGGCAGCCTTGCCAGACGAGCAGATAATATATACCCAGAGGAGAGGATCAAGAGCCTTGCTCAAAATCTGTTCTGCCTTTCTGAAAGCTAATGAGCAGCTGAGAAAATTGGATTATGCCTACTGCAGGGAAGTAGGCTGTGTGAAGATAAAGCCCAGTGAAGGGTAGATACTGACCATGCTGAATGGACCCCGACACCTTGGAATAGAGCATTCTCAAAGCCTACCATTTTCCCCTTCTGCTTCCACTTGTTTCCATGACAAAAAGAGTACTTTTATTACAGAGATTGTGTTTCTTCCTGTATTTGCTACAAGCATAGAATCACATTATAAGCAGGAGAATTGTACAAGTATTTTTGCCTCTGGTAGTATATAGATCATGTTTATGAAAGCTCTGAGACCCCCTTTTTAATCATCTATGTCAGCAGGGAAAAGCTCAAATTTGGAGGTGGTACATTTTTCTTGCATATAAAGGATACAAGTGAGTTTAATTCTAATTTGACTTTCTTTTTGCTAAAGTAATGAAACTGCAGCTCTATTGCACGAAATCTCAGGTTCAGATATAGAGGCTGTTGGCTTCCATCATTAAACATACCAGTGTATGCCCCTCCGACCTTGAACATCAGGTTCTACTTGTAAAACGGCTATAGAGTGTTTGTGGATAGTCCCTTTGCTAATGTGTAACTGCTTCGCCAACTCTGTCGTGCTCACCAGGTTTTATCTGCTGGTGTTCAGCTACTCCCATTCTTCTTTTCTCCCTTTCCATCCATGTTCCCAATAGTCACCGAGCATAGACACTTGATATGGGATTCCCCTTTGTATGTTGTGAATGTTTTATTACCATTGGTCAATAAAGAAGCTCCTTCGGCTTATGGCAGGACAGAATAAAGCCAGGTGGGAAATCCAAACAGAGATATATAGAGAGAGTAGATGGAGTCAGGGAGACACCATGTAGCTGCCAAAGGAGAAGGACGCTAGAAGCTTACTGGTAAGCCACAGCCTTGTGGTGATACACAAATGAATAGAAATGGGTTAATTTAAGAGATAAAAGCTAGCTAGTAATAAGCTTGAGCCATTGGCCAAAAAGTGTTATAATTAATATAATATAGTTTCTATGTGATTATTTGGATCTGGGCAGCTGGGAAATGAATGAGCAGGGTCTGCTTGCAGACACTGACCCAGGAGCCCCAGTAGGGACTGAGGATATACCAAAGGAAACCTTTCCACAAAGAAGGCATGGCAGCTCATCAGAGTGTGGTAATGAGCTGTGGGCTCACACAATGCCTCCCCAATGGGTAAGTCAGCTAAGACTAGAGGCAGGCTAGTCACTTTTGAATCAATGGAGGCGGCTCTTCCACACAAACTCTGCTATTGCCTCACTGGTATGTACAATTTTTATGTTCAGTGTTAGAAAACATCTGTCTGGGCAGATGACAGGGAGACCATCTATCCAGCTGTGTCACTTATAACTGAGAATCCTGAGACACAGAGGTTCTGTGACTTTGCCAAAGATACTCAGGTGCTGAAGAAGCATGTCAGCAACTCAGCTGCCACAAATGCTTGGTTAGAATATACTGCCTGCACTGTTTTAAATCATCCACTCCGGCAAGCACCACTGTGAATCTTATATTATTCCACTAGAAAACCAAGATGTTATAGAAGAACCATACATGATGCGACGAGATAGCTGCATGCTAGGACATACATGTACATTGGCAACA